AAACTTTGAATGTCTACAAGTAATCATCTCAAAATGTTAAATTGTGCAGGTTGAGGAGCTACTTAGTGAATATGATAATGTGTGTACCCTGAGAGTTCGTATGCCAATCTCTTCTGATCTTAGCAACCCGAGAAACCTCATAACAAAGATTACTCGTTACAATAAAGTGGTCAATATACCAAATAGCATGACAGTGCTAGATGAGATGCTACCAATCTCCATTGAAATGGCAAAAAGAAACTACAGAGGAATCTGGAACTTCACCAATCCAGGAGTGGTTAGCCACAATGAGATATTGGAGATGTACAAGCGTTACATAGACCCCAAATTCGAATGGACCAATTTTAACTTGGAAGAGCAGGCCAAGGCGATTTTAGTACCAAGGAGTAACAATGAGTTGGAGGTCACCAAGCTAAAGAAAGAGTTTCCAGAACTGTTGCCCATTAAAGATTCAATTGTTAAGTATGTCTTTGAGCCTAACAAGAAGACTTAGATGGTGATGGTAATTTTATTTAGGGATTCTGTTAGTTGAACTTCAGAGATTGAGTTCTTTTCATTTACTCTTTAAAGCTATAAATTCAAACAAAATTCATTTTTATTCTGGTGCTAAGGAGTTTTGATTCTAAAATAATTTATTATACTACCCCAAAAGATTCAATCACTTCATTTTTCAAGCAAGCACAGCCACAAAACTTGGTGATAAAAAGAAACAAAACTTCCAGGCTTTGTCATATGCTGATATTTTAAGCGTGACAAGAAATTAAGATCACAATCATTTGGTACATCGAAGCTGAAAAGGGTGGCTGATGACATGCGCGGATATTTTTGACAGAGAAAGAGGTTGCATGCGAGTGGATTAAATGGTTCTTTCACACTGAGTGGAAGATGAGTCAACAATTTGTGTGTATCTCTTTGTCATTCTCAGCCGCAGCATCTTCAACTCAAACAAAACTCCAAATTCGCCCTTCTGTAGAATCTTACTTTGTTTTCCTATGATATCGATCTGTGAGTGACAATGACGGCCACGTGAGAAGAAATTCCGGTAACGTAAGGTGAGAGGAAGTGACAGATGACAACATGCTCCACAATCAAAAAATTAATGCCGAAAATATGACAAATAAAGTGTCCTCTCAAAGAGAATTAAAAGGTCAATGGCTTGTATTTTATATTACTTTTTTGAGGCTTAATTACGCCTAGTGCTTAATAATAAACTCATTCATCACAATCATTTGCCCACTATATTAAGAATAAGACAACAGAAGTGTGAAAGAGCATCATAATTCATTATAATAATCTTTAATCTACGTGTATCACGTGCATAATGCAGAATGAATGGTGACTACGTTATCTCATCACTTTGAAGGGATGGAAATGCATTGAACTTTTCATAATGGCTGCGATAATCAAAGGTCACTAATCATGTCTGTAAATCACAAATGTAATAGGTGATCTGTTAGAACTCAAGCCCAAGGAAGAGTCCAACCCAAAAGACTGGTCTGATAGATGAGAGAGCCCTTAGACTTAAGTAGTCCACTTGGTGGGTATGAGATCCCGATGTAGGATCCTAACATTGTATCCCCCTTTCAAGAGCTTCACGCCGATGAGGGTGTCGGATAGAATCAAAATAGCATGAAGGTTCAATACAAGAGGTGAGAGCATTTAAATAAGTAATATGTGAGGGAGAAAATCGAGAATATGAAAGAAAGGTAGATAAGGGATGAGCAGTATCTGAAGCCGTTGTAGCAGATGAAGACGTCATGGGCTTTGTATGTAAGGTGGGGCATATGTAGTCCTGGAGATAGGCAGGCCATGTAGTGTGGCGACGAGGATGGGAGACAAGTGGAGGTGAAGGTGGGGTTCCAGGAGGGTTAAGAGGTGTTTGGGAAGTAGGTAAAACGGGTTCAGGGATGGGAAGAGGAATAATTGGAGATGGAGAAGGAGAGGAGGAGGTGTCTGGAATATCCTGAAAAGGGAATTGTTGTTTATAGAAGGTGACGTCGTGAGAATAGAAAATGGACTGTGTATCAGGATTGTAGAGTTTGTATGCTTTGTGGGCCCGAGAAAGACACATTTAGAGGCACCGAGGTGGGGGGTGTGGAATTTATCACGGTGAGCACGAAGAGTTTGTGCATAACAGAGGCACCCAAACACACAGAGGTGATTAGGGCTAGTTAACAAATCGAGCCACTCATGAGCCGGCTCGGGTCGGCTCGAGTCTGGTTCGTTAACGGCTCGGTTCGTATGGTTTTGAGCCGGCTCGGCTTGGTTTTTTGAGAGAGAACGAGCCGAGTTTGAGCCTACCTCGGCTCGGCTTGTTAGGCTCGCGAGTCGAGCCTGGCTGGAATAAGTGGGGGGTTTACTGAATATGGGGGATTATACTGAAATTTTTAAAATAAAAAGTTTTCAAAAATGACAAAGACCACTCCACCAACCCCCCCGCCCCCAACAACCCCCCCCCCCCCCCCCCCGATTTTAAAATCCCTAAAATCGTTTGCCTTAAAATCAAACCAATTCCAAAAATTGTCAACACATTTTCCAACCGCGTCCGGTGTACCTTGTCATCGTCGTCAATACCATCTGCTTCGCCGGAGTGTTTGTTACAGACTCGCCGTCGTCAAACCCATCTACCCTTCCAACTCTCGTCGTGAAACACTGAAATCTACTTGTTTTCCTTTTCTGTCCTCGCTGTAAAACCCAGCTGCTCCGTCGTCGACCATGGTCTTGTTCGCAGTAAGTTTGATTGTTTTGAATCTTGTTGAGTTATTGTTACTTGCGTATGATTGATTTTTGTGAAACCCATTAGCTTCTCATGATTTTTGTGAACTCTCTTTTATAACAGGTGGTTTTTTCCGGTGAAAGTGATTGTGTATTGATTGTGTTGTTGTCGTTGACCGGCGTGGTGTCACCGTCTTTTCTTCTTTTAACTTGTGTGATACTTTTAGGCATCATTGGCATTGAAGATTCAGATCGAAGATATGCAAAGTGCCAAAGTTAGACGAGAAACATTGGTTTGTGTAAAATAATGTAAAAGTAAAAAAGATGTGATAAGGATGTCAGTTACTTTATTAACTTTACAATGAACCTACACTATTTTATTACTTTTTCCAATACTTGATTACCGACAGTATTAAAAGGGCTTACCATAAATAAAAAAATTGAATTTTCTGGACCGGCTCGCGAGTCGGCTTGAACTCGGCTCGCAAATCGGCTCGAAATACTTTTAAATTCATTACAAGTCGAGCTGAGCCATAAAATTTGTGACTCAACTCGGTTCAAACTCGACTCGTTTCTTTATCCTATTTCACAAGCTGAGCTCGTTAAGCCAAAAACACAACTCGGCTCGGCTCGGCTCGGCTCGGCTTGTGAACACTCCTAGAGGTGATCATAGTTGGGTTTTTTGTTGAAAAGAACCTCAAAGGGTGATTTATTTTGGAGAGTACGATTGGGAGTGCGATTAATGAGGTATGCAGCGATGAAAACACAATCACCCCAAAAAGAAAGGGGTAAGTGTGCTTGAAAACGTAGACTACGAGCAACATTAAGAAGGTGTCGGTGTTTACGCTCCGCAACTCCATTTTGTTGAGGAGTTTCAACACAAGTACGTTCATGAATAATACCATGATTAAGAAGATAGGTTTGAAATTGATGAGAGAGAAATTCTTGTCCATTATCAGCTCTAATTATTTTAATAATGGTATTAAATTGATTTTGGACAAGGGAAAAAAAAAGCGATAAATGAGTATAAGCTTCAAATTTGAAACGCATAAAATATATCTAATACCATAATAAAAAAACAAGGGAGACATGTTTAAATAATTCTGTGTGTATTAATTCTGTATTCTACTTTACAAAAGATATAGGTGTACAATGAAATTAAGTATGAAAATTTACAAATAAGGAAAATATTCTATTGTAAAGATGCCTAAAAGTAAGAAATCTCTTATTTCGTGCCATCCATAATTTTAGAAAGATATGATTCTGTCTATAGTTTTTGACAGAGAAAGAGATTGCATGCGAGTGGATTAAATGGTTCTTTCACATGGACCCTGTACTTGAATTTGCTAGGCCCAGCTCTGAGTGGAGGATGAGTCAACAATTTGTGTGTTTCTCTTTGTCATTCTCAGCCGCAGCATCTCCAACTCAAACAAAACTCCAAATTCGCCCTTCTGTAGAATCTTACTTTGTTTTCCTATGATATCGATCTGTGAGTGACAATGACGGCCACCTGAGAAGAAATTCCGGTAACGTAAGGTGAGAGGAAGTGACAGATGACAACATGCGCCACAATCAAACAATTAATGCCGAATATATGACAAATAAAGTGTCCTCTCAAAGAGAATTAAAAGGTCAATGGCTTGTATTTTATATTACTTTTTTGCGGCTTAATTACACCTAGTGCTTAATAATAAACTCATTCATCACAATCATTTGCCCACTATATTAAGAATAAGACAACAGAAGCGTGAAAGAGCATCATAATTCATTATAATAATCTTTAATCTACGTGTATCACGTGCATAATGCAGAATGAATAGTGACTACGTTATCACTTTGAAGGGATAGAAACGCATTGAACTTTTGATCATGGCTGCGATAATTACAGGTCACCAACCACGTTTGTAAATCACAAATGTAATCTGGTAAAACTCAAGCTTAGGAAAAGTCTAACCCAAAAGTTTAGAAAACACAAAACTTATGGTAAACCATCAGCCAACAACTAAGTGGTTAAACACAACAGTTTGCCCACAATAAACAACCAAAAACAACACAGCATTTATTTCTGGAATAAAATTATGTACATTAACCAATGTGTACTAATTCAAATACTAACATTTAAAATTTGAAATTCTCTCCAAAAAAAATTCAAATTTTCAATATTAGTATTTGAATTAGTACACAGGTTAGTGCAAGTAGAACTACTCAATAAAGACAGGAGTCGACCCGATGATTATAAGTCATGTTTGTTTGAGAGCAAAGTTTGATCTTACAAATCACACAACGAATGACACGTCTGCAATAATCAAATTTTAATTGCTCAACACTATAATGCTTGATCGACAGCTTGCCAGTTGCAAAGATCAATGTTATGTTCATTGTAGAGTAGAAAGTGAAAAGGCAAAGTGGCAATGACGCAAATCCCATATAGGATTTGGCCTTTTTCGCGAGGTTCACTCCATAAAAAGGCGTCTATCTCGTCACATGATCACCGTCCAGAGCTTGGCTAGTGAATATTTTGTTGAGAGATAGAGAGAAAAAAGATGGAATCCTCCAAAGAATTCGACGTCATCGTGGTGGGTGGTGGCATCATGGGGAGCGCGACCACTTATCAGCTAGCCAAGAGAGCTCAAAAAACCCTCCTTTTAGAGCAATTTGATTTCTTGCACCACCGTGGATCGTCTCACGGCGAGTCGAGAACGATACGTTCAACATACCGAGAAGATTACTACTATCCTTTAGTAACTGAATCCTCTCAGTTATGGGAACAAGCCCAGTCTGAAATAGGCTTCAAGGTCTATTTCAAAGCCCAACAATTCGACTTGGGCCCATCTGAAAGCAAGTCCCTCCGTTCCATAATAGCCAGCTGTCAAAAAAACAGTGTCCCACATCAAGTCCTTAACCGGTGCTAAGTGTCGGAGAAATTCTCCGGCCGATTTGACATACCGGATAACTGGGTCGGGGTGGTGACTGAGCTCGGTGGTGTGATTAAGCCCACAAAGGCAGTTTCTATGTTTCAAACTCTAGCGATTAAAAATGGTGCAATTCTTAGAGATAACATGGAGGTAAAAACAATAGAGAAAGATAATGTGAAGGGTGGGGTTATTGTGGTAATTAGCAATGGTGAAAAATTTCGGGCTAAGAAATGTGTGGTCACGGCTGGGGCTTGGGTGGGAAAGTTGGCTAAAAGGGTTGGTGGGTTGGAATTACCAATTCAGCCTTTGGAAACTGCTGTGTGTTATTGGAGAATTAAAGAAGGAAACGAGGGTGATTATGCAATTGGTGGAGATTTTCCAAGTTTTGCAAGCTATGGGGATCCTTACATATATGGTACGCCTTCATTGGAGTATCCGGGATTGATTAAGGTGGCGGTGCATGGTGGGCAGCCGTGTGATCCGGACAAGAGGCCGTGGGGCCCCGGAGTGTCTTTGAGTCCATTGAAGGAGTGGATAGAGAAGACGTTTAATGGTCGGGTTGATTCAAACGGACCTGTTGCTACTCAATTATGCATGTACTCGATGACCCCAGATGAGGATTTTGTGATTGATTTTTTAGGTGGGGAGTTCGGGAAAGATGTGGCGATTGGTGGTGGGTTTTCGGGTCATGGGTTCAAGATGGCTCCGGTTGTGGGAAAGATTCTGTCCGATCTTGTGCTGCATGGAGAGGCAAAAGGAGTCGATCTAAACCATTTTCGTATAGCAAGATTTAAGGAGAAGCCTAAAGGCAATGCCAAAGATTTTAAAGATCAAGTCGACTGCAGTGGCAGTGCCAATCACCAGTGAAACCATTTTATTGCTCTCCCTTTTTGTGAAATCCACTTTCCAGTCCATGTAATAACGATGAATAATACTACTCTCTTCATATTATGTCCCACATTTTATTTTATATCTCTTCAATTTTTCTCACCTTTGGTTCCAAATTGAAGCCAAGCACATACATGGTTTAGTTAAAAAAACTTAAAACCAACAGAGGCACCCATAGTGCAAAAAATGTTGTAGCTTGTGTATTAACTAACCAAAACCTTTTTAACTTGTAAGATCCTGTAACAAATGTCTGTAATTACATACAACCTTTTTGGTTGGGTTTCTACTTTATAGTAAACAAGCAATCAAAATCTATTTTCCCCGAACGAGGACATTTCGTTTATTGGAAACAACCAAGCGATCCTGAGATCTATAAAATTAAAAATGGAAAATCACAGTAGCCTGGTTGAGCTAAATAATCAATCAATTTGACCACATCTAGAAACAAAAACTTGATTGTCCAGCAAACTAGATGCTCGTTTGAGTGCTAATCATGTTCAATGCTCCATCCTCAAATTGCCTTCAAACCAAACAGAGAACCTGCAGGATCAGGAAACTTGTGAATTCTCAGCATAAGAAAACAATGAAATTATATGATGCAAAAACTTTCAAACTAAAATTACAAGGATTTTATATAATCAGTTGACTTGTGACGGAGTGGTACGTCAACCAACCATACCCAAGAAAAAGAAAGAATCACTAACCAGTATGGCTTGTTAAAACACAAAACTAGCCAGAAGTGCATGCAGTACAGCCCAATAGACTATAATACCAAGACGTAAGGCAGGTTGTCGCATGAGTGCCCGATCACAAGAGACCCTGGAAGATTGGGATATATATACAAGATAGTTTTAGCCCACATCTATGTAAGTTCTAAATCTATATAAAAGAGAGAAAGAATAATAGAATAACACCATACCATAGGCCATCTATCATGTCTGTTGCAGGTCTTGTAAATCTTGGAACAATTTTTGATGTAGTAAGTGACTTGAAACCATGAACTGAGGAAAAGTGAAATTAGAACACATGAATAACGTGTCTGATGAATTATATGACATGAAGAACAAAAATAAAAGACAAGTATATTAGTGTAAAATTACCTTTATCCTCATCTTCGTCTTCTAACCTACCACTACTACTACCAGGATCAGTATCTATAGCAATCGCAACTTGATCATTGTTGACTTTACGCAGACTGCGAACTTGAGATGTCGTGGAGGGTCCAGGTGCAGCCCACTTGTTTATCTGCAATAAAATTCACAAAGATTTGAGTGATTTTCATCATAAAACACAGTTGCTCTGAAATGGACATCACAATACCATAACTAATATCTATCAAAATTGCAGTTCATTCTATAACCTTAAATCAAAACTATCGATCATATGGCCAATGTCAAGACCGCATTTTGATCTGAAACTATATCTCACAGGCCATTAAAGCATTTAGGAAGCAATGACAAGCAAAGAGTCATATAGATTATAACAAGAAAATAACAATGACATCCACCTTAGTACACAAACTTAGTATCCATATTGATTAAGACCAACCTTTATTGTGATTGCTGACAGCCAGCTTTATTTTTTTATATTGCATCATAAAATGGCCACAACTTTCAATATCAATATCAAAATTTAATTTGTCATTACTTCATAGAAAGCGGTACTTCTAATGCTATATCAAAAATTTATTAAATTATCAAATGACTCACCAAGGGTTCAACTTCTAAAATTTCAGATGTCAAACTAGTTTCCCGGCCTGAATCTTCCACTCCTTCAAGCATGTTTATTTGTGACTCCTTCTCACTTAAAGACTTCCGAAGAATCTCTTCTCTGCGTGTTAACTCTTGAACTTTACTCTTTTCTACTTGCAACAGCGCATCCTGGCTCTGAGACACTACCCGCAGTCCCTCAAATTCAGATATAATCGCTGATATCTTCTTCTGAAGTGTTTCCTTGTATTCATGCACCTGATTGTTTTTCCTATCATCTATAGGCAAATCATGCACCCCAACCCGAGAAATCATGGAGTCAAACCAAGACAAAAACTCCTGGACCTCTTCTAAATCTCTCTTGTTGCTCATCTGTGATGCAACAAGAACATCATTGGTGCATCTAGTGACCTCCTGCCTCAAGAAAGAGATCTCAGAATCCCGATCTTGCAATTGTGACTGTAGTTTTTCAACCTCAGCAAGAAGACTTTCAGACAAATGATGAAGTTCATCAAACTTGTTCACAGTAACCGAAAGCCTTTTTGAAATCTTTCCACGAGAAGCTTCAAGGTTCTCCAACTCTATGTTTTTTTGTTGCACAACTTTTTCCAATTCCTTAAGTTTGTTCTTCAACTCTTCCATTTGAGTCTCCTCTTCATCAAGTGCTTGCATTAGTGCCTCAATTTCTATTATCAACAGATAAAGCTCACAGTTATAAGATTTACCATATTAGCAAACAAATAACAATTTTTACAAAGGAATTAAATTCAAACTCAACAAAAGCTGACCTTGGTCTTTGGCAACTAGCACGTCAGACAGTGATTTGACCCTATCCTGCGACTCCACTAAGGCAGCTTGCTCATCTAGCAACTCCTTCACTCTCTGCTCCAATAGGCTTTGTTCCTCCTCCATCATTTTCATTTGCAGTTCCATATCAAATACCCGAGTTTGTGAAGATTGAGTATCCTGTGAATAACTGCGGACAGCAGCTTCAGCTTCCTTGATTTGACTAACGAGCTCTGCACAAATCCGGTCTTTTTGAATGTCCTTCTCCTGAAGCTCTCTCCGCAAATTTGCGATGGTGATTTTCATTTCCTCTAGGTTACCTTCCACAATTTCAGTTTTCATAATAGCAAAATCCTTGAGAGCTGAAAGTAGTTTCTCTGCAATAGCCTTGACACATTCTTCAGAGAAACGGGTCTGTCCACCAAAAGAAAGTCCTCCATCAACAAATGATGCTGGATTCAAGTTCATTCCCAGGTCTTGAACAACCAATTTATTTCCAATCAGCTCAGTTTTTCTGTTTTCAATTTCCATGATAGAATTAGCACATGCATCATAAAGCAAGGCAAAATTTCTGCGCAACGTGACAATCTCCATATCCTTTTCTTTTTCAATTGATTCCAAACGCATAATGTCTCTTTTCAAGACCTCAAATGAGTTTATCTGAGAAGACATTTCTCTGCTAAGAATCTCCATTATTTTAGAGAGATCACTTGCTTTATCATGTAATGCTACAGGGTGTCTGTACAACTTCTCCTTCAAAACACCAATATCAGTCTTCAATTCTTGCAGACTGCGTCCAACAGAACTATAAACTTCAATTATTACACTATCATCAACATAGGCTGGTACTTTGGGATCTAACCATGAATCCACAGATAGAAGTTTCTCCTGAAGAGGACAACTAATGTCAGAAGCATAAAAATCACAAAAAAAGTCTAACTTGATAAAAAATGTTGAAATGCAACAAGCTGTTTAGAGAATCTAATAAACCACTTAGCATAAGAGGTTTGAGAACATATATAACAGAATAGTAGGAAAATAACAAATATAGCAAATTAAATACATGCATCATGTCGAAAAAGGAAAGAAGAGAGATGAACACCAGAAAACACAAACTCTGAATCCATTTAATAAATAAAAAATAAAAAAGGTACCTTGTGTTCTGAATTGCTGGAAGTATTGCCACCATATGCATTTAAAGTAGGCATGTCAATCACACTAGTAGTATCACCTTGCTTCAGACATGACTCCATGAAAATTTCCACATTTTGCAGCAATTCAAAGTCCTTGGATAAAACATCAGCTGATAAATTATTAATATCAGATAAGAGTTTCTTCAGTTCATCAACACCAATTTTTAAGGCCATCAATTCAGAATATTGTTTCTGTTTTCCCTCAGAATTAACTGCTGATAACTGTTCAAGACGTGAGAGTGCTTCAAGTTTGGCAGCTTCAGCTACCCCCCTTTCCTTGGAGATATCTGCGAGTTCATTGGCGGTATTTGCCAACTCTTCCTGCAGCGTATCATTTCTCTCTTGAACTTCATTTAGCTCCGCAAGCAGTAACTCTGCTGCTCTTCTAGATTTCCTCGATTCTTGTTCTGAAGAAGCCAGAGCAGCATGCAAATCACGGAATTGTTTCCCAATCTGTTCTATCTTCTGAACAGGATCACTGATTTTAATTTCACCCCCAACATCAATGTCACCTAAGGCATTAATAGTCACATTTAAAATATGTTCTCTCTCCTGCAATAAACGCTCAGTTTCTGTCAAACAATTCCTCAAGAACAGTCTCTCAGATTCTAGGGCTTCAACCGTTTTGGAGTATGTGGATAAGTCCCTAATCTCAGATTTCAAGTGCTCCAGTTCATTATTCATCTCTTCAACTGTTTGTTTCAGGCTATCCCTCTGTTGAACCAATGACTTTCCTTTTCTAACTGCAACAGTTAACTTCTCTCTCAGAGAAGCTGACTTCTGCTCCTCCTGAATAAGCAGCTCTTGCAACTCTCCTCTTTTTTTATCAAGTGCTTCAACTTCACAAAGCAAAGATTTTTGCCTCTCCATATATACATCTCTCTCTTCCTTCACATGCATTAGATTCTGAAGAGCCTCCTCCAGGTCTTTCTTCATACCTGATATGCAAGGTTCCTCATTAATTAGCATATCTCTACTTCCTGATTCATCAAGATTTGCACGAGTTTCCTCAGAGTGGCGCTCATCTACTGCACCCTCAAGGCTGGGTTTTACAGTAGCAAGGGTTGAGTAGCGCTCTATAAGCTTACTTAGCAATACCTCCAAGCACTCAGTAGTACTCTCACCAGAAACCAGCTCTTTTGCACCAGGATACTGCAATGCATCACTAACCAAGTCCTCCAATCTATGTATCTCACCTTCAATGTTGTGAATGCGGTCCTCATTCGTAACCTTCTCAGCCAATTTCTCATGCAAAACAGTCACTTCATTCTGCAGTTTTTCATTCTCAACTTGAAACCAGACTGCCTTTGCTGAAATGTCCTCATGATCAGAGATCAGGATCTTCAATCTCTCAGAGAGATTTTCCCTCTCATCCATAATAGCTTGGAGTTCAGCCTCAAGGCCAGATATCTTCTCCTGTGACTCTTCCAAATCAGCAGCTACCGATCCACAATAGTTTTCCAGGTTATCAATCTTCTGCTGGAGAGTACTATTCTCCTGATTAGCTTCCAAAAGAGCAGTTCCCAACCACTCAATCCTATCCTCAGGTTCCATAGACCGCATGTGTGAAGGCATGTTAATTCTGTCCAGAACTTCTTCCCATCGTTGCACCAAGAGGTTTCTCTCCATTAAGGACTGTTCCAGCATTTCATTTTGTTCAGCCAAGCCATAGAACTTACCTTGAAGCTCCTCGTACTTTCTTCTCATATCATCCCCTGAACTAGTGCTCAGTGGTGCATCTTCTTTCCAGGCATCCATAACCACAAACCCAGCATCAGTATAGGACCCTCCTATAGAACTCTTCTGATCCCAGTCAGTGACAGCCACAGAATTACCAGTAGCTGATCTTGCTAACCACTCAACCTTTTCAATTGTGCCTCTCGAATGAAACTGCTCAGGTAGATCTAGGTCTTCCAGAATCTCTTCAATTCTCTGGAGTACAGAGTCCTTGAGAAGAAATGATTCTCTTAAAGCAGTAGCTGAGTTGCGAATGTATGAAAGCTCAGATTCAAGAGCTTCCACACGCTCACCTGCCTCCATATAGGACTTAAGTTTTGTTTCTAGCTCATGAAGCCTAGCATCCTTCAACTGTAACTCGTGAGAGCATCTCTCCAGTTCATTGGATGTCTGGGCCAGAGACTGCTTGAGACTATCACGCTGAACAACCAAACCTTTCCCCTTGGCAACAGCAATGCTGAGCTTCTCTCTGATGGAAGATACCCGCTGGTCTGACTGCTCAAGTTCGCTTATCTTTTCCTTCGATTCAGAACGTGCGACAGCAAGGACTTCTTCTGCCTGACTTAAACTTTCCTTCAAAGCAAGGATTTCAATTTCCTGCCTGACGTTCAAAGCAGATAACTGATGCACCTTCTCCTGAAGTTCTATCAATTCCATCTCCTTGGATCCAAACTCTTCTGTTGATGAAGTCACCTGCTCACCAGCCTGTTTGTACTTCTGAACAAGTGAAGACACCAATGATTCCAGGTGTGAAGCTGGTGTTTTATCTAAGTTGGTTCCAGTGCAGTCCAGTTTCACTACACCCTCAACATCTTCTATTAACTTCTGAATGGCATCTAAATCAAGACATTTCCGGTTCAGTTCCTCAATATCGTTTGCTCTCCTGATCAACTCTGAATTTAGTTCATTGTTTAAGGACTGGAGTTGCAGTCTCTCACCTAGAAAAGTTTCCAGTTGATCCACAATGGTTTTATACTTGATATAGTCAATCGAATCAGGCGATGTCCCACCTTCAATGTTCATCTCATGTTCATCATCCACAGCCCCACATGAGTCAATTACAAGTTTCCTAAGCTCATCATATATCTTATGCAGTATAACAGAAGTTGATTCATTCTTTCGGAGCAAATCATTGAACTTCTCTTTCACTTCTTCAGAGGAAGAACAGACTGTTTCATTGTCAGCACGAGCAACTTCTAGTTTCTCCTGTAGATCTTCAATCACCTTGATGGTGGCACTTACAGAAGCAGCAATGTGGCTATTTACATCCAAGCCATCATCAGTGCTAGGTGAGATGGCAGAGGTTGACACTCTCTCAATAGAAACATCAAGCCTTCCTATTGTTTCAATAATTTGAGCAATGGTAGTATTCCATTCCTGTTCAAGTATCAACGCCCTCTCAGTTGCTTCCTTCTGCAAACTTTCTAATTGATTTTCTATTGCCAAAGCCTTCTCATCTGAACTTCGCTGTAAATCATACAATTGACTCAGCAACTCACTAACTCTTGATTGGTACTCACTCACTTTTACACCAAGCCCAGCATATTCTGCTTTCAGACTAAGGCCTTGTTGTTTTGAAGCTTCGTAGAGAACTTGAAGCTCATTGTTCTTTTCTTCAAGTCCCCATACATGTTCCTTTACAGCTTCATACAGAATTCCGAGCTCAATGTTTTCTGCTTCCAAATTGTCACTGTGTTGCTTCATAGCTTCATATTCAACCTTGAGCTCTTTGAATGGAACTTTAGAAGCTTTTCTACACTCCTCTTTAAGCTTTTCAGCATCCAGGTGCAACTGCTGAAGCAATACCCTCAAACTTCCTGTTTGCTCTTTTGTTAAAATAAAGAGATCTCTTGGTGATTGATCTTCAGTCACAGCCTTTTCTTCTGCCTCATGTTCATCATGCTGCACCTTTGACTCAAATGCTTGAATTAATCTGGATACCGCAGGTGAAGCTACTTCACCACTGGACCTGTTAGAGGACATTGACTCAGAGTGCATCCCTTCAATGGCCTTTTCAAGGTTCTGCAGCAATTTCTCCGCCTCCTCTAAGTGTTCTTTTAGAACAACCAACACAAAAGAATCATCAACAACATCATGCTCGAGCAGATTAAGCAGTGGCTCTGCAGTAGGTCCATCAGGTGAGGGTTTATCCAACATGGGAGTGGAAATTCCACGATCCTGCACATATTCCTCGTTTTTAGTGGACAGTTTCTCTTTAGAAACAAGAAGGTCATTTGACAGCCTCTCATTCTCTTGGACAAAAAATTCCTTGTCCTCCTTAAGCTTCTCTCTCTCCGCTATTATTTTAGCAAGGCTCTCATTTAAGTGGGATATTTCTAACTGTAGAGCTGCAACCAAACCCTTGCAGTCAGTCAATTCCATAAATAGTTTATCGTTCTCACAAGCAACAGACTCTTTTTCTTCATCAAGCTCCTTTCTCTCCTCTGTTATCAAAGAAAGACTCCCGTTTAAGTCAGCATTTTCAGCCCGTAAAGCAGCTGCCAAATCCTTCCATTCAGTCAATTCCATAGAAATTTTCCCATTCTCATGGGCAAGAGACTCCTTCTCCTCTTCAAGTTTCTTTCTTTCCTCGGTCCCTAGTGCCAGAGTCCCACTGAAGTTGGAAATTTCTACCTCTAGAGCTGCTACCAAACTCTTGCAGTTAGCTAACTCCGATGAAAGCTTCTCATTCTCATGTTGATAAGACTCCTTTTCCTCCACAAGTTTCCTTCTATCCTCCATCACTGAAGCAAGAGTTCCATTTAAGTTCTCATTCTCCAGCCGTAAAGAAGCAACCAAATCCTTGCAGTCAGCTAACTCCATTGACAGGCTTGATAAATCCCCTTGTGATCTTTCCAAGCTAAACTGCAATTCAAGTGCCCTACCAGAAAACTCCTGAGCCTCTGCCTTCACCAAATGAACTTGGTTTTCAAGCTCCTCCCTCCTGCTATCAACAACCAGGAGTTCAGACCTGCAATGTGAAAGCTCTGCAGCCAGGCATTCTCTCCTCTCTTGAACTTCATTAAGGGAGGTACAGAGCACAGATATTTCTTCAAGCAACTGATGATGCCGATCAAATTCAAACTGCATATCAGACATTTCAGAAAGTTGCAAATGAAATATATCTTTTCCAAAACTTGTGAGATATAACTCTTCCTTCAGTCTCTCAAAAGAATCTGAATAACCACGCTCAGCTAGGATCAAACTATCAGTTCCCAACTGTGCATTAGAAACAGGTCCTCTTAAATTTAGAAGAGACTGGAACTCATCCTCACTAAGCCTCCTTACCACCTCCTTGAGCTGCAAAAAGCTGACTGAGAACCCATCTCCAACAAAGGACTCAGTTTTTACAGATGGACTCAACATTTCTTCCGCCACAGATCTTCCTTGAACATTACCCTCGGTCATATACTGCCGCTCGTTATAATCTTCTGAAACCATAATACTATCCGTGTCTGCTTGAGCCCCTTCTTTCCAGTCCTTTCCATAGTCAGCACGGAGTATTTCTGATATTTCTTCGTTAGCTAAGCCTGCCACTACATCTTTCAACTGACTTGTATCTTGATGACTAACAGCCAAAGTACCATCTGCTTCTTGAGAATCCAGGATGGGAGATGAAAACCCAACTGCATCCGACATGATGGCTGGCAAAGTTGACTCAGTGGCATAATCAACCTTTTCAGTTGGCTTTACTTCATGGGTAATCTCATATACATCAGTCACTTCTGAAGCTGATTCTTCAAGTTTTGCAACACTTCCAACAAACTCAGAGAGAATGAGATTCCCATCTCCTTTATGCTCTGGTTCATAGCTTCTATCATCAAATTGCTTCAAACCCGAACCATCAGCTTCCTGCATTGCCCCTACCAGCAACAAATGAGAATTTAATTATACGTCAAATCCACACATCAATTATCAAAATTCTCCAATTGGTTTTCCATAACAGACAAACGCAAAATAAAAAAGTAGTATTAAGACTAAAGAGAAGGAGCGCACAACCTACATCTGTTACCTGATCACCCCTCGCTTGAATCGAGGACGTATCAGGAAGAATTTCTTGTGAAAAGACTGACTTCAGACTCTCATTAACACCATCCGTTTCGGCAGTAACTATCTCCCCGTCTCTTGTATCGATTAATTCCGACAGAACTGACACATGAGAAATCACAGCCATGTCAGCATACTTGGTTTCCCCTTCAAAAACCGGGATACCTACAGTTTCTAAAGACATTTCTCTGGCTTCCTCAACATCAACATTTTGAGTACTCTCCCCATTATGGACTGAGGCGTCTATGTTAACAAGCCCCAATTCCTGTGGAGGTAATTCAACCTCATGAGCCAACGGTGTTTCGAAAGAGCTTGATTCAGGTACAATGGCCACTGATGAAGGCTCACTGGCTACAACAGCAACTTCAGGATCCTGTAAATTCTCAGTTGAATTTGAATCCACAACTCTCAGATTCATCTCAACATGAGATGCATTTTCCTCTTCAGGAGTTAAAGATCCGGTTGGTGCAGCAGCATCAGCTGATGCTGCATCAACATCGGCTTCATGCTGCTCAGATTTACTAGACTTCTTTGATGATTTTCCTTGGCTACTACTGCCCTTACCATCCTTCTTTTGACGAAATTGTTGGAGCTGATAATAAATAACTCAAAATTAAAATGTTTCTCATTCAATAAAAATTCCTCACTCACTATTTGGTAGCTAAGATATCTAAACTCAAGTAACTTCAACATAAAAAATTAGAATACTAAGTTTACTTCTCCATTTTCACAAAACAAGGATCCAAAACCCTAATGTCATATCTTGTCAAATTAAGCAGCTAAAAAAACAAGTTTTCCATAACCTAAACAAGGTCAGAATCTGCAACATTTTCTCAGCAACCACACAGTAAAAATAACAAGAACAAGTACTAACCTTTTTACGGCCGGCGGCAATCAGATCGGTACGGTTCTTGTTCTTGTCCATCCAATCCACTCCGTTTCTGCGCCCGCTTTAACTCAAAAAGAGTTAACTCCACCGACAAGTCTCTTTCACCATTAGATCCTGTCTCTCTTTATTTATGCCCAAAACAAACAACCACACAATAAATAACAAAACAAAATATTCCGCATAATCAATTACAAATTCCTCCGCACATTTTCTCAGCAACCAAACAGCCAAAATGATGAAACCAGATTGATTCAATAATCAAAGAGAGCATACCTCGATGTCGATTCGCGTCGATCTAACTCAGACGTTGAGATGATAAACAGTCCATATATAAAATGAAAATTTATTCGGTTTGTTTTGTTTTGCCTTAGATCTAACAGGAGCTTCGTTTCGATTGCTGTCTTCAAAGCTTCTATTCACCTTGAGCTCTTTAATGGAACTTTAGAATTTTCTACAGTCCCTTTAAGCTTTTCAGCATCCAGGTGCAACTGCTGAAGCAATACCCTCAACTTCCTGTTTGCTCTTTTGTTAAAATAAAAGATCTCTTGGTGATTGATCTTCAGTCACACGCTTTTCTTCTGCCTCAGTTTCATCATGCTGCACCTTTGACTCAAATGCTTGAATTAATCTGGATACGCAGGTGAAGCTACTTCACCACTGGACCTGTTGAGGACATGACTCAGAGTGCATCCCTTCAATGCCTTTTCAAGGTTCAGCAATTCTCCGCCTCCTCTAGTGTTCTTTTAGAACAACCAACACAAAAGAATCATCAACAACATCATGCTCGAGCAGATTAAGCATGTCTCTGCAGTAGGTCCATCAGGTGAGGGTTTATCCAACATGGGAGTGGAAATTCCACGATCCTGCACATATCCTCTTTTTAGTGGACAGTTTCTCTTAGAACAAGAAGGTCATTTGACAGCCTCTCATTCTTGACAAAAATTCCTTGTCCTCCTTAAGCTTCTCTCTCTCCGCTATTATTTAGCAAGCTCTCATTTAAGTGGGATATTCTAACTGTAAGCTGCACCAAACCCTTGCAGTCAGTCAATTCCATGATAGTTTATCATTCTCACAAGCAACAGACTCTTTTTCTTCATCAAGCTCCTTTCTCTCCTCTGTTTCAAAGAAAGACTCCCGTTTAAGTCAGCATTTTCAGCCCGTAGAGCAGCTGCCAAATCCTTCCATTCAGTCAATTCCATAGAAATTTTCCCATTCTCATGGGCAAGAGACTCCTTCTCCTCTTCAAGTTTCTTTCTTTCCTCGGTCCCTAGTGCCAGAGTCCCACTGAAGTTGGAAATTTCTACCTCTAGAGCTGCTACCAAACTCTTGCAGTTAGCTAACTCCGATGAAGCTTCTCATTCTCATGTTGATAAACTCCTTTTCCTCCACAAGTTTCCTTCTATCCTCCATCACTGAAGCAAGAGTTCCATTTAAGTTCTCATTCTCCAGCCGTAAAGAAGCAACCAAATCCTTGCAGTCAGCTAACTCCCTTGCCAGTCTTGCTAAAGTTCCTCATTAATTAGCATATCTCTACTTCCTGATTCATCAAGATTTGCACGAGTTTCCTCAGAGTGGTGCTCATCTACTGCACCGTCAAGGCTGGGTTTTACAGTAGCAAGGGTTGAGTAGCGCTCTATAAGCTTACTTAGCAATACCTCCAAGCACTCAGTAGTACTCTCACCAGAAACCATCTCTTTTGCACCAGGATCCTGCAATGCATCACTAACCAAGTCCTCCAATCTATGTATCTCACCTTCAATGTTGTGAATGCGGTCCTCATTCGTAACCTTCTCAGCCAATTTCTCATGCAAAACAGTCACTTCATTCTGCAGTTTTTCATTCTCAACTTGAAACCAGACTGCCTTTGCTGAAATGTTCTCATGATCAGAGATCAGAATCTTCAATCTCTCAGAAAGATTTTCCCTCTCATCCATAATAGCTTGGAGTTCAGCCTCAAGGCCAGATATCCTCTTCTGTGACTCTTCCAAATCAGCAGCTACCGATCCACAATAGTTTTCCAGGTTATCAATCTTCTGCTGGAGAGTACTATTCTCCTGATTAGCTTCCAAAAGAGCAGTTCCCAACCACTCAATCCTATCCTCAGGTTCCATAGACTGCATGTGTGAGGGCATGTTAATTCTGTCCAGAACTTCTTCCCATCGTTGCACCAAGAGGTTTCTCTCCATTAAGGACTGTTCCAGCATTTCATTTTGTTCAGCCAAGCCATAGAACTTACCTTGAAGCTCCTCGTACTTTCTTCTCATATCATCCCCTGAACTAGTGCTCAATGGTGCATCTTCTTTCCAGGCATCCATAACCACAAACCCAGCATCAGTATAGGACCCTCCTATAGAACTCTTCTGATCCCAGTCAGTGACAGCCACAGAATTACCAGTAGCTGATCTTGCTAACCACTCAACCTTTTCAATTGTGCCTCTCGAATGAAACTGCTCAGGTAGATCTAGGTCTTCCAGAATCTCTTCAATTCTCTGGAGTACAGAGTCCTTGAGAAGAAATGATTCTCTTAAAGCAGTCGCTGAGTTGCGAATGTATGAAAGCTCAGATTCAAGAGCTTCCACGCGCTCACCTGCCTCCATATAGGACTTAAGTTTTGTTTCTAGCTCATGAAGCCTAGCATCCTTCAACTGTAACTCGTGAGAGCATCTCTCCAGTTCATTGGATGTCTGGGCCAGAGACTGCTTGAGACTATCACGCTGAACAACCAAACCTTTCCCCTTGGCAACAGCAATGCTGAGCTTCTCTCTGATGGAAGATACCCGCTGGTCTGACTGTTCAAGTTCACTTATCTTTTCCTTCAATTCAGAACGTGCAACAGCAAGGACTTCTTCTGCCTGACTTAAACTTTCCTTCAAAGCAAGGATTTCAATTTCCTGCCTAAGGTTCAAAGCAGATAACTGATGCACCTTCTCCTGAAGTTCTATCAATTCCATCTCCTTGGATCCAAACTCTTCTGTTGATGAAGTCACCTGCTCACCAGCCTGTTTGTACTTCTGAACAAGTGAAGACACCAATGATTCAAGGTGTGAAGCTGGTGTTTTATCTAAGTTGGTTCCAGTGCAGTCCAGTTTCACTACACCCTCAACATCTTCTATTAACTTCTGAATGGCATCTAAATCAAGACATTTCCGGTTCAGTTCCTCAATATCGTTTGCTCTCCTGATCAACTCTGAATTTAGTTCATTGTTTAAGGACTGGAGTTGCAGTCTCTCACCTAGAAAAGTTTCCAGTTGATCCACAATGGTTTTATACTTGATGTAGTCAATCGAATCAGGCGGTGTCCCACCTTCAATGTTCATCTCATGTTCATCATCCACAGCCCCACATGAGTCAATTACAAGTTTCCTAAGCTCACCATATATCTTATGCAATATAACAGAAGTTGATTCATTCTTTCGGAGCAAATCATTGAACTTCTCTTTCACTTCTTCAGAGGAAGAACAGACTGTTTCATTGTCAGCACGAGCAACTTCTAGTTTCTCCTGTAGATCTTCAATCACCTTGATGGTGGCACTTACAGAAGCAGCAATGTGGCTATTTACATCCAAGCCATCATCAGTGCTAGGTGAGATGGCAGAGGTTGACACTCTCTCAATAGAAACATCAAGCCTTCCTATTGTTTCAATAATTTGAGCAATGGTAGTATTCCATTCCTGTTCAAGTATCAACGCCCTCTCAGTTGCTTCCTTCTGCAAACTTTCTAATTGATTTTCTATTGCCAAAGCCTTCTCATCTGAACTTCGCTGTAAATCATACAATTGACTCAGCAACTCACTAACTCTTGATTGGTACTCACTCACTTTTACACCAAGCCCAGCATATTCTGCTTTCAGACTAAGGCCTTGTTGTTTTGAAGCTTCGTAGAGAACTTGAAGCTCATTGTTCTTTTCTTCAAGTCCCCATACATGTTCCTTTACAGCTTCATACAGAATTCCGAGCTCAATGTTTTCTGCTTCCAAATTGTCACTGTGTTGCTTCATAGCTTCATATTCAACCTTGAGCTCTTTGAATGGAACTTTAGAAGCTTTTCTACACTCCTCTTTAAGCTTTTCAGCATCCAGGTGCAACTGCTGAAGCAATACCCTCAAACTTCCTGTTTGCTCTTTTGTTAAAATAAAGAGATCTCTTGGTGATTGATCTTCAGTCACAGCCTTTTCTTCTGCCTCATGTTCATCATGCTGCACCTTTGACTCAAATGCTTGAATTAATCTGGATACCGCAGGTGAAGCTACTTCACCACTGGACCTGTTAGAGGACATTGACTCAGAGTGCATCCCTTCAATGGCCTTTTCAAGGTTCTGCAGCAATTTCTCCGCCTCCTCTAAGTGTTCTTTTAGAACAACCAACACAAAAGAATCATCAACAACATCATGCTCGAGCAGATTAAGCAGTGGCTCTGCAGTAGGTCCATCAGGTGAGGGTTTATCCAACATGGGAGTGGAAATTCCACGATCCTGCACATATTCCTCGTTTTTAGTGGACAGTTTCTCTTTAGAAACAAGAAGGTCATTTGACAGCCTCTCATTCTCTTGGACAAAAAATTCCTTGTCCTCCTTAAGCTTCTCTCTCTCCGCTATTATTTTAGCAAGGCTCTCATTTAAGTGGGATATTTCTAACTGTAGAGCTGCAACCAAACCCTTGCAGTCAGTCAATTCCATAAATAGTTTATCGTTCTCACAAGCAACAGACTCTTTTTCTTCATCAAGCTCCTTTCTCTCCTCTGTTATCAAAGAAAGACTCCCGTTTAAGTCAGCATTTTCAGCCCGTAAAGCAGCTGCCAAATCCTTCCATTCAGTCAATTCCATAGAAATTTTCCCATTCTCATGGGCAAGAGACTCCTTCTCCTCTTCAAGTTTCTTTCTTTCCTCGGTCCCTAGTGCCAGAGTCCCACTGAAGTTGGAAATTTCTACCTCTAGAGCTGCTACCAAACTCTTGCAGTTAGCTAACTCCGATGAAAGCTTCTCATTCTCATGTTGATAAGACTCCTTTTCCTCCACAAGTTTCCTTCTATCCTCCATCACTGAAGCAAGAGTTCCATTTAAGTTCTCATTCTCCAGCCGTAAAGAAGCAACCAAATCCTTGCAGTCAGCTAACTCCATTGACAGGCTTGATAAATCCCCTTGTGATCTTTCCAAGCTAAACTGCAATTCAAGTGCCCTACCAGAAAACTCCTGAGCCTCTGCCTTCACCAAATGAACTTGGTTTTCAAGCTCCTCCCTCCTGCTATCAACAACCAGGAGTTCAGACCTGCAATGTGAAAGCTCTGCAGCCAGGCATTCTCTCCTCTCTTGAACTTCATTAAGGGAGGTACAGAGCACAGATATTTCTTCAAGCAACTGATGATGCCGATCAAATTCAAACTGCATATCAGACATTTCAGAAAGTTGCAAATGAAATATATCTTTTCCAAAACTTGTGAGATATAACTCTTCCTTCAGTCTCTCAAAAGAATCTGAATAACCACGCTCAGCTAGGATCAAACTATCAGTTCCCAACTGTGCATTAGAAACAGGTCCTCTTAAATTTAGAAGAGACTGGAACTCATCCTCACTAAGCCTCCTTACCACCTCCTTGAGCTGCAAAAAGCTGACTGAGAACCCATCTCCAACAAAGGACTCAGTTTTTACAGATGGACTCAACATTTCTTCCGCCACAGATCTTCCTTGAACATTACCCTCGGTCATATACTGCCGCTCGTTATAATCTTCTGAAACCATAATACTATCCGTGTCTGCTTGAGCCCCTTCTTTCCAGTCCTTTCCATAGTCAGCACGGAGTATTTCTGATATTTCTTCGTTAGCTAAGCCTGCCACTACATCTTTCAACTGACTTGTATCTTGATGACTAACAGCCAAAGTACCATCTGCTTCTTGAGAATCCAGGATGGGAGATGAAAACCCAACTGCATCCGACATGATGGCTGGCAAAGTTGACTCAGTGGCATAATCAACCTTTTCAGTTGGCTTTACTTCATGGGTAATCTCATATACATCAGTCACTTCTGAAGCTGATTCTTCAAGTTTTGCAACACTTCCAACAAACTCAGAGAGAATGAGATTCCCATCTCCTTTATGCTCTGGTTCATAGCTTCTATCATCAAATTGCTTCAAACCCGAACCATCAGCTTCCTGCATTGCCCCTACCAGCAACAAATGAGAATTTAATTATACGTCAAATCCACACATCAATTATCAAAATTCTCCAATTGGTTTTCCATAACAGACAAACGCAAAATAAAAAAGTAGTATTAAGACTAAAGAGAAGGAGCGCACAACCTACATCTGTTACCTGATCACCCCTCGCTTGAATCGAGGACGTATCAGGAAGAATTTCTTGTGAAAAGACTGACTTCAGACTCTCATTAACACCATCCGTTTCGGCAGTAACTATCTCCCCGTCTCTTGTATCGATTAATTCCGACAGAACTGACACATGAGAAATCACAGCCATGTCAGCATACTTGGTTTCCCCTTCAAAAACCGGGATACCTACAGTTTCTAAAGACATTTCTCTGGCTTCCTCAACATCAACATTTTGAGTACTCTCCCCATTATGGACTGAGGCGTCTATGTTAACAAGCCCCAATTCCTGTGGAGGTAATTCAACCTCATGAGCCAACGGTGTTTCGAAAGAGCTTGATTCAGGTACAATGGCCACTGATGAAGGCTCACTGGCTACAACAGCAACTTCAGGATCCTGTAAATTCTCAGTTGAATTTGAATCCACAACTCTCAGATTCATCTCAACATGAGATGCATTTTCCTCTTCAGGAGTTAAAGATCCGGTTGGTGCAGCAGCATCAGCTGATGCTGCATCAACATCGGCTTCATGCTGCTCAGATTTACTAGACTTCTTTGATGATTTTCCTTGGCTACTACTGCCCTTACCATCCTTCTTTTGACGAAATTGTTGGAGCTGATAATAAATAACTCAAAATTAAAATGTTTCTCATTCAATAAAAATTCCTCACTCACTATTTGGTAGCTAAGATATCTAAACTCAAGTAACTTCAACATAAAAAATTAGAATACTAAGTTTACTTCTCCATTTTCACAAAACAAGGATCCAAAACCCTAATGTCATATCTTGTCAAATTAAGCAGCTAAAAAAACAAGTTTTCCATAACCTAAACAAGGTCAGAATCTGCAACATTTTCTCAGCAACCACACAGTAAAAATAACAAGAACAAGTACTAACCTTTTTACGGCCGGCGGCAATCAGATCGGTACGGTTCTTGTTCTTGTCCATCCAATCCACTCCGTTTCTGCGCCCGCTTTAACTCAAAAAGAGTTAACTCCACCGACAAGTCTCTTTCACCATTAGATCCTGTCTCTCTTTATTTATGCCCAAAACAAACAACCACACAATAAATAACAAAACAAAATATTCCGCATAATCAATTACAAATTCCTCCGCACATTTTCTCAGCAACCAAACAGCCAAAATGATGAAACCAGATTGATTCAATAATCAAAGAGAGCATACCTCGATGTCGATTCGCGTCGATCTAACTCAGACGTTGAGATGATAAACAGTCCATATATAAAATGAAAATTTATTCGGTTTGTTTTGTTTTGCCTTAGATCTAACAGGAGCTTCGTTTCGATTGCTGGTAAAATGTCAAATTGCTGGCGAAAAAAAGTTTCAAATTTTTTTTTTTCACTGTTGCTAGGTTTGTCTTAACGGTTACGCAACTGACGTTTGGTGTTGCAGAAACGCCGTCGTTTATAAGATTATTATCCTTCTAGTGTCACTGGCTCAGTATCATAAACCCGTTCCCTATTGGGCTTAAATTATAATCTTTGATTTTGAATTCGATTGGGTGGTCCAAATTGTCTGGACTTAGACCGGGTTATACTATTCACAAGACCATGGTCCATATTTTGGACTACAAACCGAAAACGAGAATCTGGATCCGGAATATATATTATAAATAATTTGTATTTTGTTGATAATTAAAGAATAAATATAGAATTACCTGAAATTTTATTAATATTGATTTTAATTTTTTTTATAACTAAAAAACTTATAGATTTTTCTCGTCTTAGATACATATCACATGCATTATAGTGAAACAAATAATATAATATGATGGAAATAAATTAATTTAGGGAAGGAAATAATAAAATTAGAATGAAAATAACAAAATAGGATTTCAAAATAATGAAGATGATTAAGATAATGTTTTATTTGGTCAATAGTTTAATGTTATTATCTTTTTTCTCCTTTGTAAAAATTTTACTATAGGACATAATCAACTAATATGATATTCTTTATTTGGAAAACTATATTTTTACACATAATTCTAACAATTTTCATTTATATTTTTAGAATATACCATAAACATTAATATTAAATTTATAAATTTTATATTCTAAATAATTAATCAAAATAATCATATTAAAAAAAATTACAGATCAGAAAGGAAAATATTGTTTGTGTGTGTATTAGGGATGTTTAAAAGAACCGATTGGAACTGGAACCGGTGGGTACCCGGGGTTTGGTTTCGATTCCTACTCGGAACTGGCCGTCAAGGGGTAGGTTCCGATTCCAAATTTTTGGAACTGTTGCTGTGTGGTTCCGGTTCTGGTTCTTATAATTAGGAATTGAAACCGAAATCAAAAACCAAGACTAATATAAAATAAAATTAAAGAGTAGGGGGTTAATAAAAACTTTCGTAGAAAAAATAATGTGAATACATTTATATTTATATTTCATAACATTTAAAGTAAGTTGGTCTGACTTTTGAGAATCTATCTTTACAAAATAATGAAGTTTGTAATTTTGAATTTATAATTTATAATTTTATTTTTGTTAACAAGTTCCAGGTGGGGGTATTTGTAAGTTTTTAAGGGTTTTTTTGCCATTTTAAAAACTTTTGAGGGGTCATTGTAATTTTATAGGGTACCAAAAACCGGAACCGGAACCGTTGTTACAGGTTTCGGTTCCAAATTTCAACGAACCGTCGGTTTTGGTTTCTTTAAAAAATGCAAGGTACCCGGAACCGAAAACCCCTAGTGTGTATGGGCAAAAATTTGTATTAGGCTTGGACCAAGTTTAACTGCAATGGGCTCTACACCACAACCCACAAACAACGAGCTTTACATCAAAGCCCATACATTGAAGATCCACTTTACGAGGTGGCCCATTCTATCAAGTTGGTTTGTTCTACGAGTCAGCCATTTCACTCCATGAACTGGGTCACTATGTGATTTGGGCCGCCCTACGATTTGGGCCACACTATGAGTCGGGTTGCTCTACAGGTTGGACTATTCCATCAATCACACGACCCGTCATCGACTCTAAGGATTAGATCTCATGACCAAGTCTCAACTAAACTCCAGGTCTGCAGCCATGCAACGCGATACTAGAAGGGGAATTACAACATCTTTACCAAATCAATAGACATAAAATCAATACTCACTCCCCAGCGAGACTCCGAGTCTCATGGAAGCTCTAACTACTCAAGCTTCCTATAAATACCAAGTTCGACCCTCTTAGAAGAGACATCAAAATATATTCTAGACTTTAGTTTTACACTACCAAATTCTCTTCTCATACTTTTATTGCCGTCGATTCTCACCGTAGGGTCAAGTTCCGACCACTCTACGATGCTTGTTGTGCCATAGCTCCACATTCACGGTGACTTCTATCACATTTGACTCTTTCTTTCTTTTGCTTAGTCTCCTTCTACTTGTGCTGACTTGAACATGTGAGTGCTTACGACCGACACCACATCGGTGTTAAGGACTTCGCATTCATCCTCCCATTCTTTGTGTCTCTAACTCTCTACTCACAAGTCTAGTAGGTTGTTGGTGGCCTCATCATCACTAGATCAAGCGTAGAATTTTTGACCGTTTGATATTCCCCTAGGGTTCGTTTATCTTGGGGGATTTATTAATAGGTGTTGGGTCGGTTTTGCGTCCTCTTTCCTTTAGGTAGACTTCTTGGGTTTGAACTCCAGCCAACCCAAACCTTTATTCCATTGCATATTCGATTTATTATTTTCTTAGAGCATAATTAATTTATTTTTTTAGGCCAGTTTACCATTGATTCTCGTATCCATATCTTTAGACGAGCTTAGTTATTTTTATCCCGACAAACCTAATTTAATTTAATTTAATCGAGTACCAAACAATGAAGCAGGACTATAATTCTTTTCACTCCATTAGAAAATCGAGATTTTATTAAAAAAAAAATAAAAAATTGTAAACTAGGTCATATCTGCAATAGTTTGAATCGAATTACCATAACAAATAACATTACCCTTTACTATTAGATCAATGTTTTAAAAGAAATAAATCCAAACAATAAGTAGGATTTAACCATGTTGTGGTTTGTAAAGTATGAAAAACAAAAGCATAGTTGAAATCCAATATACCAAACAACCTTGGAATGGTATGACTCATGGTTGTTAGTATCCTACGATACCCGATATATATCATACGATACGATTCGATACAGGTCGTCAACGATACATATTAGAGAGTGTATCCTAAACTATTAGATACGCTGATATGTATCCTACAATACGATACGTATCCTTAAAAATATTGATATAAATCGATACGACTTTATTAATTTGGGCCAAAGGTTCAAAAAAAAATTCGAGCCGAAACCGGGTCACCAAACCCGATTCACTAAAACCTGTCCAAATTTACCTATTTTGCATAGGGAAAGTGAAGAGGAATATGTATTGCCCATTTTACATGATAATAATAATATGAGTGGAGATATAGATATTGGCATTGATCTTTGAATTTTGTGATTAATTTTGATTACGTAATATCGTAATTTAAAGTCAATAATACCACAAAATTCTTTAATTAATCTTTGAGATTATATTAATTTTTAGAAAATTTTGATTATTTTTTTAATTTTTTTAAAAAGATGTATTTTACGATAAGATACGTGATACTTGATTCAAAAAATTAGGTTTTTGATATACGATACGATACACGATTTGACGATTCGACAACCATGGTATGACTTGTGAAGAAGGAACCCAGTTCTATCATCTCTTTATTTAATTTATATTGGGAATCTTTTAATGAGCTGCAGCCTGCAGCTATTGTATTCAACAAGTCCACCCTCTTTTTATTCATAATAATTTATTTAAACCTTGTAGTTGTTGCCCACAACACAATTGTGTTTGTTTAGTGCACAGCACGTGAACGCCCTTTAAAAGTCAATGTTAACTTTCAATAGTCAATATCACCTTTTATCTTATTTATTTATAAACGAGTTCAATATGGAAATAGAATTAAAGCAATTTCTTTACATAAAATATTTTTTTAAATTTAATTAAGTCCGAGACCAATTTGACTTATTTATTTGTTAAAATAAATACTTCTTTTAATATATATATTTTTAAAGAAAGTTAAATTTTATTCGCCTCTCTAAGAGGTACTTAAATAAAAAAATGTCTCCGCTTTTATTACATACTATCAAATACTTCTATGCTTTTGTAAGATTTTTTTTCTTTAATCAAAGTGTCAGGGCTAGGTGAAGAATACATTGACTAATCTTCGAAGAGAATAACACAAAAACCTACCGTCACGACGGCCAATTAAAATCACGAATGCTCAGATGAAAAATCAAACTTGAGATCGTATGTCTATCTACAATTTGCCCTAGCTAGTTGGATTTTGCAAGATTTTCAACAAGAATAAGTATTAAAAATAATGAAACATTGAGAGAGTTTGAGTAGTACTTGAAATAAATGTATTTTATGAAGCATTTTTTCTCATAGTAAATAAAACGTTTTGCATGAAACATTTTAAAATGGCATTTTAAATTTTACGTCAACCCTTGTGAATCTGAATGTTCTGACAAAATATTATCTTGAAATCACAATATTTGACGAATCTGTTGTTTTGTTTTAATGACCAAATATTATCTTCTAAAAAACGACCCAAATCCTCAAACAAGATCTTCCAGACTGTTGCTTAGTGGCTGCCTACACACTAAATTAAAATTCAATTAATTTAACAAAGGTAAACCAACATGCAATTGGCTCTATGCCAATAGTGGATGAATCTAAGTTTAATTAATATTATCACAAAGTTTTTTTATATAGATGAAATTAATATAACAATTTATATTAATTAGAGGCATCTCCACCGAGCCACTTGCTTAAACATGGAGAATCTTCCCCCACAAAATTATTTATAATTATTAATTAAATTTTGAGTCTCGAGGCAATTGCTTTTATTTATAGACCACATGTGACCTCAAACACAAGTCATACACCTAAATACTTTGTTTATATGTTTACCTTTGTATTATTTAAGTATTTTATTTTGTGGGCTGACATAATTTAATCCAATTTTAATATTTAAAAATGGTTTTTATTTTAAAATTTATAAACTTATCGATTTACACATATTTTCGTCATGTTAAAATTTTAAAGAATACCACAACGGAGATAACTACATTATATTTTATTTTATTTGACCATATAAGATGATATAAGCAACCTAACTATTGAAAAGGTTGTGGACTTTTAACTCAAGAATGACCTAACTTAAATAGCTGGGTTATAATGTATTGATTGAAACATTAAATAATTTAAGTTTGATTTTTATATTGTTTTGACTTTTAAAAGTTTGATGATATTCTTATTCTTATTCTTATCAATTATTTTGTGGAATCCAAGTCCAACCCACCAAGCTTCTCTTCTATTGTTTATTCCCTATCAACAGCATGCCGTGTACTTATTTGTATCCATTAAGATAATGCCTAAATAAGTCAAAATTTGTGCGTATCTCTATAAGATAGCATCGTCTATTATTTAAAAAATAATATTGTAAATTAAATTGGATCACACAGATTTATTTCCACAAAATCAAGGTTGAGTCTTTTTGTGAGCATTTATGACTAAATTTTTTTTTTTTTTTTTTTAATCGAAGTGTACAGACCAGTTAACATACCTCAATCAATCTTCTAAAAACCTGAAATTGATACAAATAAGTAGGTTCAAGTTCTCATAAACACCTACATAACCAAAAATCATTATTTTCTTCATTCTTAAATAATAAAGCCAAGGTCTCGTTTTTTATCAGGTTCTAAATCAAGGAATTTATAGATTAATAAAATATAAAAACAATTAACTTTATATGTCTATATGCTCCTGATTGAACATTAATGGTTTTTTATTTTTATATTGGAATTAAGAACATTAACAATCTATTAGTAGCATAACCCTTTAATTGTTAATTATTATTTATCATTATTATAATTTTAAGCCAAGACTTACTAGCCCGTGATATTCATAAACTCGTAATATTATGTATCATACCCTTTATTAAATTATTTTATTATAATATAATTAAGAACTACAAGAACCACCTTCACTTTTAAAAATAATATAAACATAAAGATTGGGCAATGACTTTAATGTAATCTTAAACAAAGAATCAAATCTGCATTCGAATATTTTGGATTGTCACGATAGCACTAAACATATTATATTTTATATCAAAACTTTTGAATGATATGGTTAGATATAAGTCAAACTAGGCAAAATCTATTTTTAATAAAAATTAATCTTCATCTAATTACCCCAAAGTCCCATAGATGCAATCGTATATTTAAAAATAAATATCATAGTAAACATGATTAATTTCTTAAGCTTCACGACTAATTACATGCCTTAGAATTTAATTACTTCACTTCATAAAAAAAAAATTAAATAAAACAAAAATCTAGAAGATCAAGTGTGTACGGGCTTCTCCATATCACCTGGTCGGTCAAACCCACGTTTTTATCTAACTCGTTGACATAGTTTATTATTATTCGTGTTTGTATGAAATATTTAGCAATTAAATATATAAAGTTTTCATAATAATACTTCAACTTTATCAAATGTCATACTATAATTGAAACATTGGGTAAAACCTTCTAGAGATGTCAAAATGTGAAAAAAACATCAATTGAACCATTCAATTTGTGCTTTAGTCATTATAATTATGGAAAAAACTTGACTAATCACTTTTATAAAGTCAAATTACATTTTAAGAAGATATAGTAAAACGACTTCTTTTCTATCGTTCTCATCAGTTGAACGGTTGAATTTGACAAAAGCTAATTTTCATGACTCTTAAAACTCAACCGCCACGCGTCAGAAATCCAATACTCTTACCACTTTGAAGTTTTGAAACATTAAAGAAGTCGTAGTCAACTCTCTAAGGTAAACCGCAGCCGTTGGATTATAGGACAATCTGACGGTCCAGTAAGACATTACCGGCGAGATCCGGTTTACGAAGAAGAAAAATTGGTCAACAGCTTCGGATTAAAAAAGTTAAGACTGCACGTGATCCCCACTTTAAGTCAGCTTTCTTGAACTCACACAGAGTCCTCGTTATTTTCCTGCCGATTTCTCGCGAATTTCTCGGTGGTTGTTACTTCCCTTTATCACTTTAACTAAAGTAAAATTAGTATGAAATCAAAATTCCTTCATATTTAAATATAATAAGGTTGAATGGAAAATAAAATTTAATTATTATAATATATTTAAGGGCGAACGACTTGTACATACCAAAATTTATTGTATGATAAGTTGGTACCTAAAAGGTTTGAAACGACAAATAGATACCTTCCGTCATATTCTGTTAGTGATTTTTGTTTATTAATGTGAACTAAATGCCTTCAAAGTTTCAATTTTTGTTTTTTATAATTTAAAAATTTCTAAAAAACCCCCTAGGTTTGCTACTTTAATTAAACACCCCCATATATAAAATGTTGTTAAATGACAAAAACACCCCACCACCCCCAAGCCAGATTCCGGCCACCATCGCAGAATCTGGCCGGAAAACTGTATTACGACAAGATCCGTCAGATCTGTGTCGTAACGTGCCGATCTTTCCTTTTTCGGTCAGATCCGCCACGGATCTTGCCGGAAAAGGCAGATCTGGCCGTCGAAGCAGCAGCCAGATTGGCTTCGACGCCGCAGATGGAGTTTTGCGGCGTCGACGGCCAGATCTAGCCATAGATCTGGCCTTTTCCGGCCAGATCAGCCACGGATCTGGTCGGAAAAGGCCAGATCGACGCGTTACGACACAGATCCGACGGGTCTGTGTCGTAACGCAACTTTTCGGCCAGATTCCGGCGGTGGTGGCCGGAATCTGGCACTTGCCGGTGGGGGGTGTTTTGTTATTTTATAAAACTTTTATATATTGGGGTATTTAGTGAAATTTGTAAACTTAGGGGGTTTTTTGAAATTTTTAAATTTATAAAAAACTAAAATTCAAACCTTTAAGGGCATTTTAGTCTTTTCACTATTAATAAACAGTAATAAACATAAATCACTAACAGAACATGACGGAAAGTATCTATTTATCATTTCAAAACCTTTTGAGTACCAACTTGTCGTTACGATAAATCTTAGGTATGTATAAGTCGTTCTCCCTATATTTAATTAGGCAAAAACTCGGTTAGAAAACTTCAACGTTAATTTAAGAAAGTGCTTAAAGTTTCGTCAAACAAAACGAAAATTCAAAACCAAAAAGCACTCCTTAGACTCCCGATATTTTTATTTTCCATGTAAGGGACCCACCACCCACTACTTGAAGGTTCAAACAAGGCCAACTTCTGATTAGTTTATACATCACCCTTGAAAAGTTCAAACTCATCTCAGCCGTTGGATAAATCTTCCATTTTGACTCTGTACCTTCTTTGTCACCCGGTCATCCTGTCACCTCATCGCCCTTATAACTCCCTCATCCCTTGTTCATTTCTCCCTTACTCTGCTCTCAAAAACCTTTAGCTTTTCTCTCAAGGGTTCTATGAATTGTTGATCTTTTTGACAAATCATCCATCTTTAAAAGCTTCGTAATGGCGGTGGAGCTGATGGGCTTTCCGAGGAAGATGGACGATCAGATGGCTATACAAGAAGCTGCTTCACAAGGACTCCAGAGCATGGAACACTTGATCCGTCGCATGTCTCATCGTCAATCATCAAATCACATGGATTGTACTGACCTTACTGATCTAACCGTTTCTAAGTTTAAAAAGGTTATTTCTCTCCTTAACAGGACCGGTCACGCCCGCTTCCGACGTGGACCGGTTCTCTCTTCACCCTCTTCATCGTCTTCCTCTGGAGCAGCAGCTTCTCACTCTGTTCCTTACACTCAACAAAACCTATCCCTATCTCCCACTCCGATAACAACTCCGGCGACCGTGGTTCCGGCCCCCGCGAGTTTCGTCCAGTCACAGCCGCAAAGTTTGACTCTTGACTTTACCAAACCTAGTTTGTTTAACTCTAATGTCAAAAGCACCGAACTTGAGTTTTCAAAAGACAGCTTTTGCATGTCTTCAAACTCCTCGCTTATGTCCTCGGCTATAACCGGAGACGGCAGCGTTTCGAACGGGAAGCAAGGAGGATCGTCGATCTTCTTGGCTCCGTCAGTACCAACTGTTTCCGCCGGGAAACCGCCTCTCTCATCACAGCCTTACAAGAAGAGATGCCACGATCATCATGAACACTCAGATGATTTCTCTGGAAAGTTCTCCGGATCTACCAACGGCAACGGAAAGTGCCACTGCTCTAAGAGAAGGTATGTAGTTTTATTGACTTATTCACCCTCGGCGCATTTTAGCATAGATTTAAATATTTCGTTTACTTTAACTGTAACTTAAGAGGCTGAAAATCGGATCGACCGGGTTAACTCAGAATTTTAAAGCGTTAGTAATAGCAGAAAATCAACGGTAGATTTGTAAAGATGTTATTTTAATGATATGTAGAGTTTAATAGGAGTCGGTTGAGTGGATCTCAGACTCGTTCTGAGTGGAAATCGACCGAGTGTAGAGGTCAACGAGTTGGGTTAGCGAACAGTTGCAAATTAATGGGTTGGGCACGCGGGACAATGACAATAAAGGCTCGGTATTAAAAATGTTTGAACTTGGTGCCAAAACAGTTTGTCATTATCTGGCGCGTGGTGGACTTTTTTTTCCTTGATTTGACTGGTGACACCACATACTAGTCCGCACGGCGCACTATAGTTTACAAAATAAAACAAATACTAATTAATGAATTAAATATTGGTTAATTATTTCGAAATAATATTCACGACTCTTCTCTTTTGATCACAGGAAAAATCGGGTGAAGAAAACGATTCGAGTGCCAGCTATTAGTTCGAAAATTGCCGATATTCCGCCGGATGAGTATTCTTGGAGAAAGTATGGTCAAAAGCCGATCAAGGGCTCTCCTTACCCACGGTAACTAATCTACACCCTCATCTCGAACCGTTGATTTTAATCAAAGTTAAATGCGCGTTTCACGGAGAACTGTTACTTATGTGATTTTTTATTGCTTGTTACAGCGGTTACTACAAGTGCAGTACGATGAGAGGTTGCCCAGCGAGGAAACACGTGGAGAGGGCCCCTGATGATCCGGCGATGTTAATTGTAACGTACGAGGGGGAGCACCGTCATGTTCAAAGCGCGATGCCGGAGAACATTATCCCAGCTGGTGTGGGGTTGGTCTTTGAGTCAACGTAAGAAAAATGAATAAAATAAAGAGAAAAAAGGAAAGTGGGTGGAAAACCGATAAAGAAAGAAAGAAAGGCGTAGACTTTTGTAATATCGAAGTAGTTGAGGGAGTTTAATGTAAAAATTTCTTTTTTTTTCTTTTTTTGGTGGTGGAGAAGGAGAATCAAGTCATCAACTTCTAGCAGTGTTCAAAGATAATCAAAATTTAATTAATTAATTAATTGTCATTTGGTAGTAGTTTAATCGTTTTGTTTCCTTTATTAAATGTGAATGATGTGTCACTATGACTTTACTATTTGAGTCAACCAAACTATTTAGAAGACTTGGTAAATGAGGTGGGTCCATAAATAATAACATGATGTCTAATATTAACATTATTGCATATTTTTATGTGTTGTATAAAGAATATTCAACGAGTGATGGTTGATTCCATTAATTATCTATCATATAAAGACGGTAGATATAGTATAGTTAATGCTCCTATCTACCACTATTTATGCTACAAAAATAATAATTTTTAAAACAATATTCAACTTCTGGACCCATAGCTTAATTTTCAGTAGGTGAACGTTGACAATAGAGGGGACGTGGGTCATAGGGCGCACACTTATTTGATCAAACATATATTATTTTGCTTTATTTTAATTGTTTTTGCAATCAAAATAATGAAATGAATCATTAGGTTGGGTGAGTTCTTATGATTTATAGACTTGTAAGGTGTTTAATGATGGGTTATAAAAAAATAATAATTAAAAGGGTTTTGAGTGTAATACAATAGCAAATCATAATTGCACATGGCTACTTCTGGTTGAGAAATAATAATAGGGGAGGAATTGAACCCACCTAAAGTATATACAATAAATAACACCAACAGTAAAATATAATTACCATTTATATTTCCAATCAAGGTGAAGTCAATGATTTTGACCTTTAACCTCAAATATTGTCTCAATTCCCAACTTCTAAACCTTTAAATCTTCATCATTGGATTCTTATTCTCCACAACATAAAACAAAAGGCCCAAACTCTTATATATTCCCCTGTTAATGTCCCCAATATTTTAAAGACCCCATCTATAATTTACCTCTCTCATTTACTCTTCTCTATAATTCATAACTTATGTTGTACTAAATTTATAAAATAAAATTAAAAAGAATAATATGAATTTCTTGTCTTTTGCATGGAAGCCACGTGTAAAATAATTAAAAAAAGAAAATTGAATTTATTTTTAAAATTGTGTCTGTTTCTTACAGGCACGAGGCAACAACTTAGTATTTACTCAAGAAAAAGACCAATAACTTTGGCTTCTAGGAAAGAGCAACACGGTTTAGCCAAACAAAACGAAAGCTTCTGATCTGAACTCAGTGAAAATAAATAAATAAATTATAAAATAAAAATATATAAGGAGAAAGATCCATATACAGAAAGAAAGCTTAGGTGGCTTGGCAATGCTTTACTGTCATGCACTTTGGCTGGATCCATCGGACAATGCAAAAAGAGTTGTAAAGGCTTTCTCTTTCTCACGCTCGCATTCTCATCTTTAGGGTTTCCCTCTCTCTCTCTCTTTCTTTTATCTCACTGAATCCCCAATCTTCCATTCAAATATTCCACTCATTCCGTTCCACCTCATCATCTCTTGCGGGTCAACTCAGTTCACTGCACTAAGTCTCAACTACTTTGTTTCACTTTCCATCACCACCAAGTGAGTAGTTTAGTTTAGTTTTCTCTCGTTTTCTGTTTCTTTCAAGATCATAGACTATCTGTGTTTTGTTTGTTTGTTCGGTGGTTGTTGATTCTTTTTTGCTTGGTCAAAGTTTGGTGAAGCAAAACAAAAGGAACCATGAAGTTTTCTTGTCATATGAGTCCTGGTTAGTTTTCGATGAATCCTAGAGAAATTGATGCGATCACGTATTGTAATACCAAATCTAGATTCTTCAACTTCCTCTAATTTTATTCGGAGAGCAATATTTCGATTTTAAAGTTTTGATTTTAAGTTCTAGGGTTTCAGATTCAAATGGCTGATAATAATCATAAAAATAATTATGATGGTAATAGTAATCCTGGCATTGAGAAATTGTTATCTGCAACGAAGGCCTTGAAGCTGAGCTTACAGAAATCGAAAGCCTTAGGGTTAGCTCTTGAAAAAGCAGGACCAAGATTAGATGAGATTAACCAAAGATTGCCCACTTTAGAGGCTGCTGTACGGCCCATTCGTGCAGACAGGGATGCCCTTGTTGCTGTTGGGGGCCACATTAACCGTGCGGTGGGCCCTGCTGCCGCTGTGCTTAAGGTTTTTGATGCAGTTCATGGGCTGGAGAAATCACTGTTATCGGATCCTAGGAATGATCTTCCTGGGTATTTATCAGTATTGAAACGCCTCGAAGAGGCGTTGAGGTTTTTGGGTGATAATTGTGGATTGGCGATTCAGTGGTTGGAGGATATTGTGGAGTATTTGGAGGATAATCGGGTGGCGGATGAGAAGTACCTTTCGAGTTTGAAGAAGTCCTTGAAGGATCTTAGAGAACTGCAGAATGGTGAGGGAAGAATTCGCCTTGATGGTGGGCTTTTAGATGCTTCATTGGATAAATTGGAAAGTGAATTTCGGCGACTCTTGACTGAACATAGTGTGCCTCTACCAATGTCATCACCATCAGCGCTCGGTGAACAAGCATGCATTGCCCCATCACCTTTGCCAGTGACTGTTATTCAGAAGTTGCAAGCAATTCTTGGGAGGTTGATTGTGAATAATAGGCTTGAGAAATGTATATCGATTTATGTTGATGTTCGTGGCTCAAATGTGAGAGCAAGTTTGCAGGCGCTTGATTTGGACTACCTTGAGATATCTATTTCAGAATTTAATGAAGTACAGAGTATAGAGGGGCATATAGCACAGTGGGGAAGGCATTTGGAATTTGCAGTGAAGCATTTGTTTGAGGCCGAGTACAAGCTTTGTAATGATGTGTTTGAGAGGATTGGATTGGATGTGTGGATGGGATGCTTTGCTAAGATCGCTGCGCAAGCAGGTATGCTTGCATTTCTTCAATTTGGGAAGACTGTTACAGAGAGTAAGAAAGATCCAATTAAGCTTTTAAAGTTATTGGATATTTTCGCATCTCTGAACAAGTTAAGATTGGATTTCAATCGACTCTTCGGTGGAGCAGCATGTGAGGAAATCCAGAACCTGACTAGGGATCTCATCAGGAGAGTGATTGATGGCGCAGCTGAGATTTTCTGGGAACTTTTGGTTCAGGTGGAATTACAGAGACAGATCCCACCTCCTCCAGATGGGAGTGTTCCCAGATTGGTGAGCTTTATCACTGAATACTGTAATAAACTGCTTGGGGATGATTATAAGCCAATTCTGACTCAGGTCCTAGTCATTCACCGGAGTTGGAAGCATGAGAAGTTCCAAGAGAGGCTCCTTATTAATGAGGTGTTGAATGTAATTAAAGCTATTGAAGGGAATTTAGACGCATGGACGAAGGCTTATGCAGATATCACTTTATCCCATTTTTTTGCTATGAATAACCATTGGCATTTGTACAAGCATTTGAAGGGAACAAAGCTTGGCAATCTCTTGGGCGATTCTTGGTTAAGAGAACATGAACAGTACAAGGACTATTATTCCACAGTCTTCTTTAGAGACAGCTGGGGAAAGCTTCCGAATCATTTAAGCCGAGAAGGTCTAATTATGTTCTCAGGTGGGCGTGCCACTGCTCGTGATCTCGTGAAGAGAAGGCTGAAAGCATTCAATGAAGCTTTTGATGAGATGTACACGAAACAGTCATATTGGGTTATCTCGGAAAAAGATCTGAGGGAAAAGACGTGCCAGCTTATTGTGCAGAGTATTGTGCCTATTTACAGAAGCTATATGCAGAATTATGGACCCTTGGTTGAGCAAGATGCAAGTTCCAGCAAGTATGCAAAATATTCTATGCAGGATTTTGAGAGAATGCTAACCTCTCTTTTTCAGCCAAAGCCTGGGAGATATGGCAGTTTCAAAGGCAGGTCGCCTGGTGGAAAACTTGACAATGGTATGATGGATCTTCGTCGTACTGCTTCTGCTGTTATGTGATTCCCCCATTGTTCTTCTATTTCACCAATGTCTACACTCTGTGCTGAGATGGTTATTAATTTATCATGTATATATTGATTCCTGGGGATGCTGCAACTATTTATTATCATCTCTCGTTTCTTGCATTTGGAGAACTTGCTCTAAACATGGCCAACCTATTGCCCAATGTTTCTCCATGAGATGAAATTTTGTAACTTGCCCGAGGATAATGGGAACCAAATGTACTCTTCACTGCCTGGATCTCTCTACAAAGCATGGGATTTGAAGAGTGCCAGACATTCCCATGAATGAGTATATGGGCCTATTGGATCGGGTTCGTAGATAATACCATTGAGATATACATTTTTCATTTTCCATTCATAATTGATTCAGTTACTAGCTAGGCAACAGTTGATATCTTGTAATTTGCTAGATTTCATGTAAAATTCTTTGATATAAAGTGTGCATCTAGAGGTCTAGCAGTAATTTAATTATCTACTCATCAATTCTATAAAATAGTCATAAGGTCTGGTTCCTTAATGAGATGCTTGTTATTTGTGCTACTGGGGGGGTTGTTTTTGTTGATTAACTGCAGCCATGAGTATGAGATTAGCACAACACTGTTGACAATAAAGCGTTGGCTTATTTCTGTTGTTGTATCTGTCCTGTAATGCAAGACAACTGTTCATCATCAGTCTGTTCTTTCCAACAGTTTCATTAATGCTTGGGTGGTTGTGATCCAATTTGTTCCGTACAAGCACAAACTTGTAGCTTGGCCTTTGAATAGTAGGAGCAGAAAGTAATTATCTTTGTTCTCTTTTTTAACTTGTAGTAGGAAATCGGAACTTTGCTCTCTGCAGAATTGGAATTCTATTGTACTGAAGTTTTTGCCTTGTAAAATTGTATTTGTTTTATGGTTTCAAAGGATATTGGTAGAAAGCCGGACTGTTGTTCAGCTTGTGCTAGTGCTTGCCTTGTTGGAAATAGTGAAGTTTTTGATAGCAAATTATGGGGAGCGATATGCTTATAATATCCTTTCCTTCTTCATATATCAAATCTCCTTAACATAAAAGATTTAAATTCTCTTAGAAAATGGTTGAAACATGAAGAGTTTTCACTTGTCAAGGGAAAAGATTTGATTCTTAGAAACTTGTGGTACAAGTATTGGTATAATTCAAGTCAAGGTGAACACCTTTGTTGAGACATGACTTTGCCATTGACCTACTAGAAGATATATTTTTTTATTAAAAGTGGACCGTAGGATGTGTGGCCTGTTTTAAACTCGGATCAGACTGGTCAGTCGAACTAGGACCCGGTAGTTTCTCCAATCCGGTTTAGGTTTTATGGGGGCTTTAAAATATTTTAAATTTATAGTGACTAATTTGTAATTTTTAGGGGTATTTTGGAGATATGTTAAAAGTTTAGGGATGAATTGTAAATTTTTTTGGTATTTTGAAATAAATAAAAATTTTAAGGACTATTTTGAAATTTTTGGGAGTATTTTTGTGATATACTAAAATTTAAGGGATTAATTACAATTTTTAAAAATAGAATTACTATTAACGTTATCAATCCAACCAACCGCTCCAACCGGTCGATCCGTGACCCATTCACCTTACTGAGTCTTACAACTAGTCGGGTTTTAAAACAATAGGTTACTGTGTCACAGTTTGAGATGAAGTTGCGTGTATGTATTCTATTTTCGAAGGAAGGTGCAGATGAAGATGATAGTAATCCAAAATATTTGATTGGAAACAATGTTCACATGTTTACTTTTACTTATTTTAATCATTTAAATTAATATAAACACTCCTTTTTACTTAACAAAATTTACCAAAACCCAATTCTATTAAAACTATTATAATTCATATCTAAATAAATAAATAAATTATAATTAATATTAATATAGTATTCCTATATTATATACAATTTACCTAGTAAGTTACGAAGACCTGTCGAGTCAAATGATGTGTTTGGCTGTTGGCGAGAAACATGACAGCATATAAAAAATAATGTCAAAAATTGTGGTGGTTATCCACTTAAATTTGAAAGTATATGATAAGTCAATTTCCATAAAAATAGAGAAATTTAGACTAATCAATTGATTCTAAGCCGTGTGGTTTAATCCATAAGTCAGTAGAAGAAATGATGGGGAAGTTGATAACTTGATCAAAATTTTAATCCACTTCCTTTGAAAGTGTCCCTCCTTGTTTTGGCTTATTTTAAGTAATTGTCAAACTAATTTCCAATCACATTATTTTACTTTTCATTTTCTCAAACATTCAAACAAAATTCACTTCTTAATCTACTTTTCAATTTCTTAATTTATTAAAATAGATTTATTATCATCAATTAACAGAAAATAATACCACTTGATTTAATTGAGATAAAAGATAATTATATATAATTCTTTAGTCTGTACGTTTTAATATTAATTTTGTCATAATCATTCTCAATATTATTTGATTATGATATTTTATAATTTAGATTTATTGATATATAAACCATATCCTATCAGAACTAATATGAAAAAAAATCGTAAATAAAAGATTATTATATAAAATTAAAAAAAAAGAAGGAAAATACAGCGAAATTGGGTGGTCCCATTTGAAAATAGAAATAAGTATATGATAAAAATAAAGATAAGATAGGTTAGGTAATTGAAAGAGTAATAGATCAGCAATTGTTTACTTTGAAAATTGACCTCTTAATCTTTATTTTAACTATGTTAGAATATCTGTCCCCCCTCTTCCATTTAAATATAAATCTTATTATAATAAAATAATCTATTATTACAAACTGGATCATCCACTTAGAATATTCGGGCCGTACGTTTCACACGTTGTGACCCACCCACCCATTTATTTTAAGTGCTCGATATAACCACTTGTATCTTAAACAATGACCGGTCAAACTTATGGATTGGATGATCCATTCCACATTATTATTATTATTATTATTATTTATTTTAATAATTCCATTACATAACCACAAAATTAACTTAACTAATTCCTTTTAATAACATGATTATATACTTAAATTAAACTTAATTATTATTTAATATCAACTATTATTTTTGGTCCCCTCTATTATTGAGAAAGTTGATTTTTATTGAAATCCGTGTTGAGTGGATTTTGTACGGAGGAATTTAATAATTCGGAAAGTTATTTTCCACCAATTATAGGGAACCAGTCGTATCTAATTCGAATAGTAATAAACGACATATCATTTACATAAGAATACAATCTACGGGATGTCGTCTATACTAGATAAATACAACCCGCTTGTTTTGAGAGAGGAAGAGGATCATTTTCATGCAAGAGTATTTGGTCTATACTCTTCTCTTAACATATTGTTTAATAATTTAGAAGAGAGTGCCGTATATTTGATGTATGTACATCTGTCTAATTCCAAGATGGGTGAAATACACGTGTATACTTACATTACAAAATTTAATGTGTCATTAGTTGAAAAGAATTTTCGATACATTCGATGTATTTATATATTTATTTGATTCAAAGACGCACAACATACATGTGAACACTTGTTATAACTTAATTTAATACACATATATTTATTGCACAATGGTTAATAATTATTTGTTCACTGTTATTAAGGTTACCATATAGAGTGTTTGCCGTTTGATCCATAGTTTAAAACTTAACATACCGTTTTACCATTTAGAAGAAAATCTTTGATACATACAGTATGAGACGCATGACACACACTCACATGACGCAACTTAATATGTTGTTTAAGTCATTTAGAAGAGAATTTTTGACAAACTTAATGTGTATATATCTATCTGATTATGAGACGCGTGATATATATATACACCTATGCCCTCACATGATACAGCTTAACATGCCGTTTAGTCATTTATAAGAGAATCTTCGATAAACTCAATGTATACATATCTATTTGATTTTAAGACGTGTAACATACACATTTACACTTATATGACACAACATGTAGTTTAGTCATTTAGAAGAGAATCAGCTGTACATTTGATGTTATATTTCTATTTTATCATGAGATATGCACTTACATGATACAAACTTAATTGGTCAAATGTACATTAGTTAATTCACACAAATTTTTCCGACCATTATATTACAAAATGCCAACCGTAAATACTAACAATGCATTTAATGTTAATAATCCTTTCACGTTTTAAATAATTATTTGTTCAAAATTTTCGAAGTTACTAGATAGAGTATGTGGTCAATACAATTAAATTTTTATGATATTGTTTAATCAGTTGAAAGAGAATCTTCGATACATTCGAAGTACATACATCTGTCAGATCTCGTGATAGGTGACATAACATGCACACTTACATGACAGCTTAATATGTCGTTTAGTCATTTAGAGAAAATTTTTCGATACACTCTATGTATATACACCTACCTATTTCGGAGACACATGACATACACGTGGGCACTTCCATGTCACAACTTAACATATCGTTTAGTCACAAAATATAATCTTCGATACATTCGATGATGTACATCTATTTGATATTGAAACACATAATATATACGTACGCACTTACATGACATTACTTAACTGGTTGAACATAACTATATTTAATACACAAGGTTTTTATAACCATTTATATAATCAAACGTGTATATTGCAAAAAATAAAAATAAAAAAACAAAAATATTTGATATTTCTCAGTGTCTCAACTTAGGCTAACAAAAAAAACAGTATGATTTATATTCATGTAATTAAAGTGTGAAAGAGAAATGTCAAAAATACAAATGGTCTAAGCGTGGGTTTTATGGTCACTTTCACTGCCACGTCATGACGAACGTGTCAAAGTAGTTTCTAGCCTATTTGGCCGCCAACATAAATATACGTATAAAAATACACGTATACATGTGAGTGTGTATATATACAGTTTGTTGTGGAATTATTACTCTCTCTCTTCGCTTTCTCTTATATTAAGTCTTATCCGACTCTTCTCTTTCTACAATATGATGTCTTAGCCATCTTCAATATCCTATTCTTTAACCGACACCCACCTCATCCTTATCCTACTCACCCTTATGTATTCTTCTCTTTCTCTCTGTGTTCCTCTGCACAAAACAATTGTGACGCTGTTCTTGAGCAATTGATGACTAGAGATCCTTTGAGGGAGAGTAAGAGAAAGAGAGGACGAGGACGAAGAAGGAGGAGGATAAGGGAGTAGGGTGAGTATATTTTTGTTTTTATCCATAGTAATGGAAGTCATGGTGGGGCCCACTTATAGCATGGAGGTGTCTGTGCCGTCACCGTCGTGTGTCCTAGACCGAAGCGATGTTGCTGCGGCGCAGGATAAGTCGACGTGTTTGTTCTTGAAGGGTAACGGCGGAGAAAAAGAAGATCATCATGAGACCGGCGGGGAAAAAGTCGGCTCTGGTTATGGATCGGGTGGTTCTTCGGACAGTTCGTCGTCCATCGGGGATCCCGGTGACAGCGAAGAAGAAGAAAACGACTACGTTGCATCGTCGTCAAAGTTGAAAAAATCTACGCTTTCTTTGGATTCACTAGAAGACTCTCTTCCGATAAAGTGAGTAGATTACAAAATTAAAAAATTAACAGATTATAAATTTTATGTAATATCTAAAATGAAAATAAAATTGTTTACTTGTTGGGATGGTTTTCAGGAGAGGATTATCGAATCACTATACTGGGAGATCAAAATCATTTGCGAATCTATCAGATGTGAGCACAGTAAAGGATCTGGGGAAGGAAGATAATTCATTCAACAAGAGAAGAAGATTGTTTATGGTAAACAAGTTATCCAGAAACAACAGAAGATCATCTTTTTACTCCTGGCAGAACCCTATATCTATGCCTCTTCTTCCTGCTCTTGAAGAAGAAGAAGAAAAAGATCATCTTCATCCTCATCAAGTTCAAAACTTGTCTTCGTTTAAACAAGAAGCAGCAGAGGAAAAAGAAGAAGAAGAACAACAACCGATCAAAAACCCACCAACAAAAACGTTAAATGGAAGCAGGTTTAAGATTGGTTGCAAGTCACAAAGTTGCTTCTCTCTTGCAGATCTGCAAGAAGATCAAGAAGAAGAAGAGAATCAATGGTAGTATGTCTAGGTTAACCTTTTGTTTTAAAATTTATTTTATTTTATTTTGTCTGTTAAATTAGTAGAAATTTTTTTAATGAATGTAAATAAATAATCAAAAGAAAAAAAATGTTTCAAGTACCAAAGTCCAAAGATATTTGTTATTTGATCAAGTTGTTTTTGTTTTTATTTGTCTTGATAATATGAACTTTAGTTAAAGCATCTTTAATTAATTAAGTTGATGTTTATGGAAGAAACCTAACTTTGATTTAATATTTAATTTGGTGAATTGAATTAAAATATGATGCGTGGCAACTGCCAATCATAGGTTATATATATATATATATAAGCCGAAGCAGAGCAGAGCATAATTTATGAAATATCATATCATTTCATGTCATATATCATAAATAAACTTATCTTATGCTTGGAAAGTCCAATTTTTCATGTGGATATTCATACCCTTCCAATCCAAACCATTTGTCATTTACTGCCACGTGCATCGCATGCACACTTATTTACTCTGTCCTTTCACACTTGCGGATTTGCCCTAGGGTTTTTTTTTTTTTTTAATTGATTTTAAGAGGGTTTTTAATTAGACTGATTTTAAGGTGTTTTAAAATCATTATTTGTCAGATTTTTTATGGATTAATTTTAACTGGTTTAAAAGCCTTTCAAAACTAATGTAGTGTATTTTTGAGGGTTTTATAAAACACCCTAAATTATGGTGTTTTAACTGGTTTAAAAATTTTATCCCAAAAAATCAATTTTCACTATTATTCCGTGATATGCAATAGTCCCTTTGCTACTAAAAAAAATGTCACAGAATAGAGGGGCAAAGGAAAAGACTGACCTTTCTTCGTTTGATTCATCCTTCTCCAGCTTCTTCAATTCTCTCAACAAGGTTTGTTTCTCTTTTTCTCTCTCATTTTTTGTTTGGGTTTTCCATGCCATGCTTAAATGAGGTAATGATCTTTTGTTCTTCTTAATTGATTTGCCCTTGATTTGCAATATGTTATTCTTTTTAATTAGGTTTTCAGTTGGTGGTAAAATTAATCACATTTGAGTTTTTGTGCTTTCAACAGTTCACTTGCAGATTTATTGCAGAAATTGTAGTTAATGGTACTATTTTGCGTCCATGGTTGTGTTGAAATGGTATCATCATCTCCAATTGCTTACACCTACCCAGACTGTTAATTTTTATCCCTCAAAACAGGCAAGCATGGGACAAGGTTTACGCGATGCTAATGAGGGCAGTTTTTGCGTCCTATGAATTTCTTATGAAAAAATATACTCTATTCTAGTGAAGATGAGAAACGACGTTGTTACTGATGCTGGGCAGAGTATGTTTTGGTAGAAAATAGTCCCTCTGCTTGAGGCAGTTAAAAATGCACCTATATCTCCTTAAACATGTGATAATTCTTGAAATTTTTGCTTCAATTTTGGTTGCTTATACTTAAAACTATTTATTTTTCTGAATAGTTCTCTTTCAGAGTTTGTTGTTCTTGGATATGAATTGGGATATTCAATGGAAAACCCGAACTCATTGGTAATATGGGAAGCTAAATTTGGCTTCTTTTGCATATATTTTCAGCAAATCTAGTTGTTGAGTAGAAGTCAAATTACCAAGTATGCTAATAGTGTCAGCATAACGAATATCATCAACTAAATTACATATTTTAGTGAGAACATACAAATTAATTAAATAATATACAATGAAAGAAGTTATAAATAAATTAAACTTGGAAGGAACTTCGACACTAAGTATTGGTAATTGAAAAAAAAAACTCCCAAATGCTGGTTAAAGTTGGGGTATTATTATGGACATATATGTAAATTTATTATTTTAAAAAACTGTCAGAAACGTTGGAAAATAAACTCCCAAGTACAGGTTGGGTGTTTTAAAAACCGCTACTAAAAACTCTTCAAAACTGCTACAATGATTTACCCTCAAAACTGTTACGATGGTTTATCCTCATAACCGTTACTATAAAACTCTTAAACAGACCCTAAGAGAGAGAGGGTGGGTGAGTGTCTGGGCTGTGTAAGGGGCCTATAGAATTTCTTGGCCTGTGGGCCTCGATTGTCTGGGCCTGCAAAAAAGAATCTGTTATAAAATACTACAGAAGAAATTATGCTTACCTAAACTATGTCGTTTCTGCTCTCACCATGTCGTTTCACAGCCTCCTTTTCTCGCTTGAAAGCTTCAAAATCCAGCATCACTGCCAGAAGAACCAGTAGTAATAGCAACAATCACTCTCTCGCCATCCTCAGTTTCCCGAGTCGACTCAGCTGGAAATCTATGAGTCAATCCACCTCCGATTCCGCCAATCCAATGACGTCACCAAACGACGCGGTGAATACAGAGAACACGGATGATGTTCTGATACAATATGTAGTTCTCCGACGAGACCTGATTGACACGTGGCCGATGGGTAGTGTAGTTACACAGGGATGCCATGCCTCGGTGGCTGCCATTTGGTCTCACAAAGACGATCCTCACACTCTTCAGTATTGTAGCCCTCAAAACATTGATTCAATGCATAAGGTAATGTGAAGAATATAAGCTGTATTTGGATCTGGATTCAAATTCAGGATTATGGATTTATGTTATTGTGGGCATTTGTAGGTTACTCTTGAGGTGAAGGGAGAAACTCAAATAAAGAATTTGTCAGAAAAGCTGACGGCGGGTGGAATTGCTCATAAGCTGTGGATTGAGCAGCCTGAAAACATTCCAACGTGCCTTGCTACAAAACCCTACCCAAAGTCCATGGTATCTTTGTTCTTTAAAAAGCTGAAACTTTGTAAGTGATGTAATCTCATCATCTTTCTCCTTTATGAAGAATGAATAATTGTTTTTCTTGGGAAAATCAAATTCCTCCATCGTTTTTCACCTCATGTAATTTGTTCTATCAACACCATTGAAACTTTTCTCTGAAGTGAGCAAAATTAGATTTTTCTAAAGCATCACGAGCGTTATTTTTCTCTTGGAATTATGATCTAATGCTCAACCATTATCAAATGTTGTTTCTTAGTACATAATCATACATGTTTAGGATGAAAGGAAATTGCTCAGTGTAGACATATCACAAAAGTCATAACGCCAGAATTTATTACCAGGTGGTTCTACACAGCCAAACTCAGAAAAATTAATAACAGAACTTAAATTCAACACTGTTGAAGAATCATAACGAAATCCTGTATCAAAAGGACAAATTGCTAGCGTAAAACTAGAAAAAAAGGGGGCAATTTTAATCATCGTTCAGATAATAACTTTTACTGAAACATATGGCTCAATTATAAACTTCACTTCCTGAATGCCTAAATACAAATGTGAACAAAAATGGGAGGGCAGTCTTCTAATTTTCAGGCAAAGCACCTGCATCAGTTCAACAAATGAAATATGAGAACATAAATCACCAAAACTTGCATTTGAATGATAATGCAAGGTAGAGATTAAGATGAAGGAGTAAAACTGCAACTACGGCACGTTAACTAGAGTAATAAGTACCAGTTTTGGAGGAAATATTTATGCTGTTATTCTACCTCAACTGCCTCCCTTCTGCTTGAGAGTGATCTTATCCCCTAGACTAAGGGCAATACCCTGGGTCTTGCTCCTTATCCTGATGTACCCACTCAATTTGTCGTCGATCTGTTTCTCAATGCTAACATTTACCAATGCATCCTCGCCAAACACACTCTTGGCATACAAGTTTGCTGCCAGGAATCCACATTCACCATCCAAGGCAGATCTGCAATGCCAGACAAGCAGATATAGGAAAATGACGTTAAACTACACCATTAGCAGCATTTCTCAGTGAAGTTATATGAGAACATACAACTATGTGAGGATCACTTCCATGTTAAATCCTTACTGTTTCTGGCTACAACTTGAAGACGGGTCATATGATGATAGAAAAACTAAAAAAGAACCATATTATTATGTTGTGATTTAGTATGTGTTTCTTAGTAGGGGAAAAAAATTCTTTTATAACTCCAAATATTCTGACAGAAAAGGGGTTTTTTGTTATCGATCTATATATGCGATATACGGCTGTGTCCACTTAACTAATCAAATCTAATAACACAATGTTCCTGAACAATGTCACTGGGCTTTGTCAACTTAACTAATCAAATCTAATAACAATGTTCCTGAACAATGTCACTTGCAATGCATCTGAACATGAGTTACAGATAAATTTCATACAAATAACATGCACTCCATAAGTGAAGATATCATTGAAATAAGACAAAACTTACGGTGCAGTGAGACACTTCATGTTGGTTGATTTGATAATATGATCAAGGAACTCCTTCTCATCTTGAATCACTGTGTTAACAGCAACCTGCATTGCAGCACACAAATGATGATTAAAGCAAAGGAGTCGGGTCAACTGAGCATAGGTAAGACAGAGAAACAGTCACTCAATCAGGAGAAAGCTTTCAGTCAATTCAAGTAAAAACAAGGAAACATTAATCAACAGAGTATATAAGCAAGAAAAAAGACAGCATCAAATTCCATTCAGCTTGCTTGTGTAATTAAGTAAGCTAACGCCATTGAGAAGGATATCAGCAAACATATCATCATTACCATATTTCCCACATGAGAATACCTTATATAAATTAGGGAAAGAATATGGTGCAGGAACTAAGTCAAGTAGGAAGCTAACTTCATTATCTAAAATAATCATGTAGCTCAAAACAGAACAAATACAACATCCAATTTTTGACATATCCAACAATAGTAGACTTCATTCAACATCAAAAGGTAAAAAACAAGCTGCTGCATATAGTATCACAAAAATAATTCAAACTAAAATATTGTAACAACAAATGCAGATAGCAATTTTGGACTTCATAAACGAGCATATTACAATCCCAGTAGAAGCTGATCATCACAACATCAAAATGATCATTAGCATGCAAGAAAGCCCTAACATATGATCTAACAGATGGACAAAAATAAAATTTAGGATTAAATGTAAAATTAAGACCTTATGCAAACCACAAAGAACATTACAACAATTGCATCAAAAGGACATGGCATAGATACCTTGTTTTCCCATTCAAACTCTGCCCACATAGTTCTGAAAGCTGCATCTGTACAAACTGCAGGAGAGATATAGTCCATGATGTCAATGTGAATGTCGTTGAGGACAACAACTGTTCGTTCGAGCACATTTGAAGTCTCATAGACAATGTTCCCAAATATGACTCCAGTTTCAGTTGAGGACACCTTGATGTTGGCCTTTATTTGCTTGCTTGATTCAGGTGCTAGTGTATAATTTTGTGGACGCTCAACAAGTTTAAGATCACCCATGGTTGCCAATTCCAGACACAAATTCTGGAGGGTTTCCTTTGTGCGATTAATAACTGTAACATCAAGGACAATATCATAGTGATGAACAGTCACGTATGCCTCAGCATATACAGGGTCACTAAATCCAGTGAGTTGAAGAATGCGGTTAAGCTTATTTGCATCATCCCCATCCTTGATGAACTCTCCAGTTGCACGTTTTAGATCATCTTGTACCTCATCTTCCAACTCCAGCTGACTCATTCCCTGGAATTAAGATATAGTCATAAATTTTGAATTGGTAAATTTATCCAAAGGATCAACCCAACAAAACTAAGCAAATAAAAACATAAAAAAATTTGAAAAAGGTCAAATGATTAACAATGATCAGAAAGTAATATAAGCTAAAGATATCAAGCATTGGGTATTAAGTATTATGAAAAAAAAAAAAAAAATTTGCTCATCAAATTCCCAAGTCAAAGCATATAGCAGGAAAATGTTTTAACAATTGAATAATAGTCTACTAAAACATGCATATCCAGAAGGACATGGTCCAAATAATATAATTCGTGAAGAAGAAAAAAAGACCATCAACATCTTTTGATTACAAACAGACAAACAGTTATATGAATGAAAAGTTAGATCATACGTAATGAAAGTGTTCTTATCCTTCTTCATTGTCATCCACACATTCAATAGACAGGAAGTGCATGGGATTCTTACCTTCCTGCTCTTTAGATGGTAGAAGTCGATAAGATCATCTGGTTGTGCATGAGAAACCTGAGCCTTTGCTTTTAGTTCCTCAGTTTCCCTTAAATGTTTCTCTGAAAGCATTTTTACAAAACTCTGACGGCAAGACTGCAACCATATCTTCCTGATCTCATCTCCAGTATTGCATAGCAATCTTATGCACAGGACAATCCTATCATGAGAATCATTATCAATTGGGTGTGGAAGGACCGAAGATTGTCCCAATTGCAGCATGGAGATCATGATCAACAATGCCTGAGTGGATGCTTTATTGACTTCAACTTGAGATGACTGCACCTCCTCCAATCTCAGAATAAGCTTTGTCAATGTGCAAGCCACAACTGCCCCAAGGAAAAAGTCCCCAGTGAGAAGAAGGGATCTTAAATTCCCAGAAGTCAATGTTCCTTGAACTATGGTAGGAGGGGAAAAAGCAGTTTCCGAGGCAGCACTCTGAGTAGCATAAGTTCCATCCGCAAGAATAGCTGGTCTTCTGGAAGAGACAGTAATTGAGTTTGGCTGTGGAGCCTTCTTAGTTGTGTCAGTATCTTCCCCTTCTTCAGAAACAGAAAAAAAGGGCAAGTCTCCAAGACACTGCTTAATGGTTGCTATGCCACTCTCAACTTCAGAAAGAGACTGGCAATACTCTCCAATGATCCAAAGAGCACAAGTGCAAACCCGTGCGGCTCGGATTTGGTAGAAATTGTCCAATAGTCTGGTTATGATAGAGACCCGCAATCTAGGATTCATTTCGATTATTTCCCGAACAAAAACAATAACATCGATAGCTGAAGCAATGTTGCTATCTCCCAAGAAATCCATCAGCAGATGTACTACTGTGCTTGCAACTTCAGGGAACTTAATAGCACAAGAATGGATGGCTTGAATAAGCATTTGCCTGTACTCACCATTCTTCTCAAGCTCTCCACCCTGGGTCTTCACGACTTCCTTCTTCAACATGAGAACCACTTCATTGATGTTTCGTGGAGTTATCAACTCAAGCACAATATCAAGTGTCTTCCTGCGAATGTCAAGATTAGGACTGGAAAGCGCCCTAAGCACATCCATGATAAGATCAACCATGATCTCTCTGTGTGAAGACTTGAGCTCATTCAGTCGGTCAAGCACAATAAGCTTTACATTGTTGTCACTCTGTGAAAGAAGAAGCTGACAGTAGGTGTTAGCAGCAGCTCTGATAGCAGTCGGTGCAGATGACAGAGAGACAAGTGTTGAGGCACATTCATAAATAACTGCGGTTGAAGGGGCATTCAACAAAGATATAATGATCTTGATGTACTTTCCCTTCTCTCCCCGGTTTGTTCTGCACACTTTTCGAATCAACTCCAACACAACCATTTGAAGTAATTCGCCCCATTCAGGAACCCTATCAACATTGGTCAAAAGGTAATTAATTGCCCGGTCCTGATCACAAGTAAAGAGCATGAGGAATGCATTCCTCTTTGCAGATTGATCCTGCTCTGTCGCGAGAACCTTCTCAATCATTTCAGGCGCATCAACTAAAAGCTGCTCACCCTGTGGAAGCTTATATATCGACATTACAGCTAATATAGCATTTCTCCTAATATATGGATGGCGATGTGCCAAATTTTGCAAAACGGAAGGAATCAATGGCTCAATTATCTCTGTCTCATTCAACCGGCAAAGAAACCTCAATGTAACCCCTCGAATATACTCATTAGGGTGCTGAAGATTGTTCCTCAAATTTTGGCATATCAAAATCATCTCTGGTAAAACCCTACCTTTAGCATCTGTTTTCTCAATGATCTCCAAATATAGAAGCAATAATTTTTGTATTGTGTGGTCCTCAGAAGGCAACACATATCTAACTATGGTGATAAAAAGCTGAGGCAAGGTTTCTCCATTCAACAAAAGCATAATCGCCTTCTTCATGGCATCAACCTTAGCAGGCACATCATTGCCTTCAAGAGCCTCCTTAATTTCATTTGCAATTGCTGGTGTTCCTTTGTCAAAGTGAATGAGCATAGTACAAGATTTCTCCATGTTGCCTGATTGTTTTTCTGGTGATACACAACATAATAGCAATTCATATCAAAAATAAAAAAAACATTAATAAGTTGAAACTAAAGTAGACATGGTACAGGAAAAACCAAAAATATTAAAAACTGAAAATGGAAAAGAGAATAATTAAAAACAGCTAAATAACCAAAGTTGAAGTTTTTCCACTTTCTATCATCTTTCTAGATAAGCCAGTGAATCTGGATAATAAGTGGAGCCCAAAAGTAAAATCCAACAAGTTTAGCCTTAAACATCCATCCATTAATCAATAATCTATCTAGCAGCTAATAAACGATAGAAGTAAGCTGTCTTCATTTTTAACAACCATTTCCAGAAAACACCATTCCTCAACCCCCAATGCCACCATCAGTATCATTGCGCTGTGAGAGTGTGTAAGTGTCAAGCACAAGCATGCTTTACAAAGTAAAAACAAACACCAAACTACAGCAAATTAAGCATTCAGATCTCTTATAAAACCCCTCTACATCCCTCCTCCGTAATTTAAAATAATTTGTTAATCCAAGCTCCACATTTTCAAAGGAAATTTCCAGTCCCAACAACTGGCAAAACCGTATTTGAACAAGTTTGCCGCGCATCAAAACCGCCAGCACAGCCAGATCAGATCTAAAATTTAAAACTAAAACTATCAAAACTACAACATCGAGATCTCACTGAAATTCACATTATTATCAAACATTATAACTGATCTCTATCAATTCATATCACGAGCCAATGTATAAAACCTATATCCAACAGGTAGAGCTTCAAAATAGACTAATATGTTTGGGCGCTCAGAAAACGAAGGAAAATCAAATAAACTAGAGTGCAATAAGTGAAATTATTCTCTATCAAATAATAATAACAATAGATTCTACCAACTAACAACATAAATCGAAAGAGAAAATTAAAGTCCCTCCGTTTGATTGCCGAGAAAATGAATCATCAATATACGAGATCTGCGAATCGAGAGAGAAAACTAACCTTAATCGATGAGATCTCCGGAGAAAAGAGGGGTTGGGCGAAATTGAGTCAACTTGGAGACAGGAGAGTGCGGTGATTAAAATGTTAGATCTTGAGAACGTTCATAATCTCTTGGTTATTTTTACAGAAAATGAGTGAGGAGGAGCTCGCAGATCTGAAGATCTACTCTGTTTATATCTGAGCAAGTGGAGAAAGCCAGCAAGGGTAGATTTGTGATTTAATTTTTAACTTTTTTTTTTTTAGTTGGTAAATGACAATTTTTGTATTTCTTTCTTCATAAGCTAAATAAATTTCTTTAAATACTTAAGTGTTATGTTATATTTCGTATAAAAAATACCCTAAATTTAATTAAAAAAATTATAATTTTAACTATACTGTTTTTACATTATCAATATATTTAAAGTTACAATTTATCAAATTACTTCAATATAACATATATAAATTTGAAATATTTTCTTTTCAATTTTAAAAAATTCAAAACAAATCAAATTATTGAAAGTTATTCATTACTTAATTCTTTTTTCTTTTTTGATAAATTCGCCTAAATTCCTCGGATATATTTTGCATGTCATGATCTTTTAGAAAGAGGATTTTAACAAAATAATTAATGTTACTCATTCGTGGGTAGTCTAGATGGTTAGGATGAATTAAAAATAGTATGAATTGACGTACGATCTCAGGTTAAATTCCTTCTTTAAGCATCCACGATTTAAGTGAAAGGTCATGGTGGTGGGTTGTTGCACGACACCAAAAATATAGAGTAAACAACTTTTTTCCACCCAAGGTTTGCCTTAATGACATTTCCAACCAAAAAGTTTCAAAATACTACTTTCCCACGTCATGTTTATATTCTGCTAATACCCAAAAAACACTTTATTTTCTTAGCCAACATTCGACGAGTTACCAAGAGTCAGGGTAAGAAGATTTTTGTAAAGTGGAGGCCAATGGATTGAATGAAAGTGACTGATTGAATTTTCGCAACCGAAAATCAACTAAGAATAAAAAATCCTAACCTTACAGTGGTTGACAATCGACGAGAAATTAGATGTTAAGTAACATGTGTTTTGTAGAGAGAAGATCAGAGATTCAAATAGTTATGATGAAGAGAATTTTTTATGTTAGAATCGGTTTTCAGTAGTAACAGAATATTAACTTTGAGTGAAAAAATGGCATTTTAAGACTTATTGGGTTGGAAAGTCATTAAAGTAAACATTGGGTGAGAAAAAATCGTTTATTCACCTTAATAAACTAATTTGCAAGTAATTATGATCATGTCATCAGTTATGGACCTTTAGGCTCATAGTCACTTAAGGCCATGGGTGACCTCATAGTAAAGGATTATAAATTTAATAAAATATAAGATAATATTAAAAACAGAATCTGAGACCAATCTTAAAGTTCATAAATTCTTAAATGATTATTGTTTCATTAACGATTAAAATGTACATCAAACATGATGTTTTACATAAATTCTGTTATAAAGAGTTTCCTGATTACCTTTAATCTAAAAACCCTACTTATTTTTAACGCAATTGAGTGAATTCAATTCGTCCGCAGATGTAGGAATCACGATGATCAACCGTTCCTCGATACGGGTTACTCAGGTAGAACACAGATTTTTTTGGCACCATTATTGCGCATCAAAAAGCTGCTCTTAGCAAGCTAAGCAAGCCAGGTACTTATATTAATGCAGTAAAATATTATTCAGTCGTCTTTGCCCGCAGTCAGCAAACCAGAGAAAACGAAAATGATTCTTTAGACAGATCTAAAGCATTAGCTGATCAACTAGGCGACATATCATAAGATCTCTGAAGGTTTTAAAGAAGGGAAAGATTACAGGAATATATATATAAGAAGTCAAGTCAACCATTAGATCACCAAAATTGAAGTCGCAAGTAAACAAACGATAACACAAGATACCGAAAACCAGAATCTAAAAAGACATCCAAAAGAGAAATAGTATCATATATTATGTACAAAGTTGATTCTATAGCATAGCAGAATCATTGTTGGATGACCAAGCGTCTGGCGCAGATTGTACAATAGAACTTCCTCTTCGTCTTGAAATATAAAGGCAAGAAACAGAACCTCCACTGGCTCTCCACGTCCATCGCTTGAATCATTCCTCCACAGTACGGACATGCCCCTGGCGCAGGCTGTCTTCCAATTACTCTCTCGTCTTCGTCGCACACAAACACCAAACACATCTTGATGATCTTGCGTTTTCTTTCTTCTTTAAGTTTCTTGACTCGTTGGGAATTATTGTGCAAAAAGCGTGGGAAAAAAAGGGTATATATAAGAAGAAATTCGTCAGGTTCGTTACGAGGTTTCTGGGAAAGTGAGTTGGAAGAAGGAAGAGTGTAGTTGGGACTAGAAGGGAGAAATATTATAAGAGAAACAGTCGCTTTGAACAAATCGTGTTCGTCCATCTAGAATCTTCTGACCGCCCACCTATAGATAGTTTTCATCCTAAGATGAAAAAGCAACTTTTTCAGATCCTATTCGCGTACCATGATGGTTGCTTACGCGTCTCGTTTACCAATTGCGAAAACAGAAGGGAAAAAAAATAGGTTTAAAGTTAGTAATTAATTAGTTCATTAAAACAAATTCTTCTGGAACAGGCTTTGTTGGACTAAAACTAAACCGAGTAATTTAATGCACCTTGTGAAATAAGTGTTATTAAATGGATTTTACATAAATAATATTATATTTACAAAATTGAGATTGTAAGGGATATAATTGTGGGGGAGATAAGGGCAAATAACTCAATGCTACGACTCTCCACTTAAATCGCAGATGATTAGATAGAGAGGAGATTAGGCAGTAATTCATTTTCACAACTCCTTACTTAAATCATGAATGTTCAGATGAGGTGAAGACTAGCATAACAATCCATAACCACAATCTTCCACTTAAATTGCGGATGCTTAGATAAAGAAGAGACTAACGCAACAAACCTCTCATTTAAATCGCGGATGCTCATATACGAAATCAAACCTGAGACCTTGCTTATATCCACACTATCCCCAGTTTGCTCTAACAATCTGGTTTGTGGGTGATATATGTAACGAGAACAACAATACATATAAGATGATATTATTACTTAACCATGTCATATAATTAATCTGATAATTATCATATATAACATATTCAATCTGGACTCCAATTTTATACAAGTACCTTTAACTCTTTTGAACACATGAATGGAATTGGGCTTCATCTGGGTCCTTTGACATGGGCCTTCGGCTAGCACTAGCTTCCAATTCAGATTGAAGGATATCCCAGATGGAGCAGGTGTCAAAGCCCATAACAAGCCGTTGGAACTATAATCGATATTATAAAGTTATAAATGATTTCTTTCTTTTATAATAAGTTTACCATGAGACTATGATTTAATTTTTGTGGAAAAATATATATATAGTAGTTAGACGCATTTGGTCAAGAAAAACTAAGAGATTTTAATCAATACTTGGTTTTATATGTAATTATATTTGCATATCGTTCACATGGTCTCATGTGTCTATGAACGGTCCATGCAACGAAATAAACATAACTTCTTCCTCCCAAGGCCATGTGTGCTACTATCTTGAGAAATTCAGATTAATTAAATAATATGATTTAAATTGTTTTGCAATCCAGGTTGACATTTCTTGAATTTGCCGTCAATAATCGTCTAATTAAATCTCAAAAAACATTGTATATGCACATAATATAGGTGATTTAAGATTATCAGAAACAATAATATATAGTTGAAAAAACAGAATACGTTAATTGTGAGGCAAATGATTAGAGACGGTTTTGTCAGTTAAAAGTCAAACAAATCTCTCCTGTATTGCACATTCAAAAACGTGTTTTCCACCTCAAATCTATGGCTTTATCACGTGAAACGATTCTCTTCAGCATCTAAACCAAATTATACTTAATTTAAACAAAACATTAACTTCAATGCACTTTGTATATATATCACCCACCTCACCCAATTGCAAAATCAGCCTCTTAATTTCTCCTGTCTCTGCTGTCCCTTATGGAGTTTAGACTATTGGCAACTTTCCTTCTCTTTTCTTCTATCATTTCAATCTCATTCTCAGACTCAACCCAAGTAATTTCAGCTTCTTCCGCTGGACCTTTTCTTAGAGGCACCACTCGACGTCGTAGCACGATTCAACAGTTTCTAGCACCTCACAACAAGGTGAGAGCAAAGCTCGGACTGCCTCCTCTAAAATGGAGCAAGAAGCTGACGAGTTTCGCTTATGGGTGGGCGAATCAACGCCGAGAGGATTGCGATTTGGTGCATTCCAATAGCAATTATGGGGAGAATCTGTTTTGGGGAAGTGGGAAAGACTGGAAAGCGAGCGATGCTGTTAAAGCATGGGCTGCAGAGAAAAGTTACTACAATTATGAAACAAATACTTGCGCTAAAAATGAAGAGTGTCTGCACTATACGCAGATGGTTTGGAGGCAAAGCTTGAAGGTGGGCTGCGCACGAGTTGTGTGTAAAAGCGGCGATACATTTATCACATGTAACTATGATCCCCATGGCAATGTGGTCGGCCAAAAGCCCTTTTGAAATGAGATAAATTAAACTTTACTTCTCATTTCATCACTACTTGTATTATTAAATATTAATTATATACATACATATATGTAACTATTATGTCCCAGAGCACAGATCTTAATCACAACCCATAATTTTCATAGCAAAGCAATAAGATTACATTACAGGATGTTATATAATAGTCATCCAAACTGCATATAGACAAACTCCAGCTGTAGCTTCGGAGTTACAAATTCAAAAGAAATTAGGCAATACAGATTATAAAAGAAAATCTCGCCTAATAGAAACAAAAACCAATACCAAGTTAGGCAACCTGGTTTTAATAATCATTAATAATACAAAAACATAATAATTCAAAACCTCTGGCTAGGCATAAAGCACTTGACAGCTAAAAGGATCAAATTCCTTGAAAGCTTTTGGGGCGCACACAACTTCCCATTCTGCGCAACATTTTCCATCTGCTTCATCATAAATTCTTCCTATTGCCACATTTAGTCCAGATGACAACACAAATATTCTTCCTTCCACTCCGCTCACAGCGAATGGCCTTTGCATTACTCCACGTGGTAACTTATCCCCACCCACGTACTGCCACGTGTCGGATTCAGGCATGTACAGTTTCATCGGACAGTCACCATGTTCTGATATCACAAACAGCCTACCATCCAGAACCACGCTGATCCCTGTCCACCCTTCTCTCATCTTATCACTCATCATCTGCCAGGCGTCCCTCTGGGAGTCGTAGACCCCACCTTTTGGTGATGACCTGAAAGGCCATGTCCACCCTTCGGTGACATACATCTTGTGCCCTACCACAGCGGAATCATACCTAGCTAACCCCATACGCAATTTAGCAAGCTCCGTCCACGTGTCATTCTCTGGGTCATAGCATTCAGCGGCTGTGATTGACTCACCGATGTTGGACCCACTTCGGCCAACGGCCACGATCTTACCATTAATATTCCCAGAAGCACAAAATGATCTAGCTGTGAGCATTGGAGACGCAAGCGACCATTGATTTGTTAATGTACGGTAGATGAGAGTGGAGCGCATGGGAGTCTCTGTGTCCGAGAGCATACCGCCGAGAACGAAAATTTTCCCTTGACGTGGAATCGATGTACATGCAAAGCTCTTTGGGCAAACAGCCTTGGGACATGGCATGGGCGGTAAAACAAACCAACGGCCAGATCGCAGGTCCATCGCCTGCCATTGGATCTTGGCCGTTGATTTATGAACAGCAAAAACGAAAAGATGAGGCAAATAAAGTGAAAGAGATTTCCTGTAGAGACTGAAGGCAGGGGATATTATGGCTTTGTTCCATGAAGCTGAAACCGAACGTACCAATGCTATGTACGGATACGGGAGATAAGTAAGACAGAGCTCCGCGATCTCCTCCGGTAATCCAGGAATCAACGGCTGAGAATTCTTTTTATCTTCATCAGTTTCTCGCTTTGATGATGATGATGATGATGATGATGATGCTCCTGAAGATTGAGAAACCGACATTCTTCAAGCTACCTCTTCTAAAAAAATAAAAGAAACAATGATCTAGTGTGAGCTACAATAAATCAATAATTACAAAGTGCGTTTCTTTGAGAATATATAGCGAGGGAAAGCGGAGAAAAAGTGGAAGTGATGACGATGTAAAATTAACTTTACAGAGAGAAGACTATAGAATTAATATTGTTAATTATGTTGTCAAAAAGTGTTTCGACTTGTTTAATGTATATTGGGATTGTTTTTATTTTTGTTTTTGTTTTTGTGTTTGTTTTTTATTTCTAGAAGCCAGAATATAAGGGTATTAGTAACCGTAAAGTCATACACAACACAAAGTTTCCTGCAAATCCGAAGAAGATTAGAGACTTGTGTAAGTTAACAAATACAAAGAATCGAAGAATTTTACCGGAATCACATGCAGCTGACGCAATTGCAACTACGAGACGCACAGAAGCCGGCTGTCACCGGAGCTTTGACGATATCTAATTGGCCTCTGATTTTCTTAGTTTTCACTTTCAAATTTCAATGGGGATCGTCTTGAGGGATTGATATCATAAAATATAAAGGTAGATCTGTCAACAGTGATGTCAGTCAAACTTTCAAGTCTGAACTAATGAGAAAAATTAGATCCTCTGCTGTGCAACCATAGCACACTTGCCGAGGTGGACTGCCACGTGGTAAATCTCTTTCTTAAAAAAATAATGAAAATAAAGTATAAATATTTAAATCCGATCCTAGTGTAGTTTCTGTGTGCACGGCTACATGTAAACTGTGTACGAATTATTGATGATATTTCATCTCAACCACCGGTCGCTTTCTCCTTTATAATTCTGATAAAATGGGGGGTCCCTTCAGTGCATTCTAATTCGATGTATTGGGTTCATTTCGACAATTGCTAGTGGTCAGGATATTGAAGGGCGACACATGATTAATAATTGAAATAAAGCCTAATAATTGATTTATTAAGAGATAAATATACACATTTAATCCCATTTTTTTTTATTGGGCTAAGACTAATTAGGTTTAAATTACCAAATCATAATTAAGAAATTTGATATGTGTAACAAAAATATCGTTAAATGAGATATTTCAATCAAATACGTTATCTTGAAACTTTATTATTATAAATAAAATAATATTTAAATGTGTTATGCCTGGGAAAGTAAGGGCTGACGTGGGAGGGTCACGTGGAGGATGACCTGCTCCCGTCAGAACAACAAACACACGTCAGGCCTGCCAAACGATATGGAGCTCCCACGCGTCTATTTCCCTGCTGTAAACCGTGCGAAGTCAGCTTGGGAAGAAGGTGATGGGACATAAAGCCGGATTATATCCTGACAATCACACCAACCTAAGGATTTAATGATGATTACACGCTTTAGCTTGATATAAGAAGAAGAAGACCCCTTCATTAAGGGGATTCGACCATTTTTACAGATCACTCTCTCTCTCTTCTGTAAACAACATATTTACTTTTTCAAAACCTCTTGTAAGTCAGTCCGCTGTTGCGACCTGACCCACATTCACTATCAATACAAATCAGTGGACGTAGGACTTGCTACCTTAGCATCCGAATCACTTTAAAAGTTCTGATAGCATTTATTTCACTTTATATATTCATTTTCACGTGTGCTTTTTGATCAATCAACGTTGCACACGTACTGATTGGTTGGTGCCCAAAATCTCACATCAACAAAATGATACATATCTTTGTTCCAAGATATAAACACGTGCAAAAACGAATAAACTTTAAGAAACGAGAGATTAGTAGTGATCACTGAAGCCGTTTCGACCACACTTATTGGGAGGGAGGGATGATTGAAGTGGAATCTCAACTGCTTTTTCTTGAAATGGAAGTGTTGAACAGAAAAGTTAGAAGGGAGAAGAAGAAGAAGTGCGGTTGGTTTATCTAAAGATGCAATAAAGAAAGAAAGATTCCACGTGAACGAAAAGTAGTGAGTGTGAGGCAGCGTGATTGAGAAGACGAAAGAGTCAATTGCCTTTCAATCGTTTTCTCATACAAAAATGGATTTCATTGCTCCCGAGATTTCTTGTGTTTATACAGAAATAGAAATTTATAATGTGGGCTCATTATTTTCAGGGCAGGAATTATAGAGGGATCAATAACACGTGTCGACGTATAGTTCAATGTTCAAATGCACATACACCGAATCTTTTGGGTAGAAACTACAAAGTAAGATAAAAAAATCAATCAATATATAAATGTTAAAACTTAAGGGGGTAAAGTCAAAAGCGTAAAAGTCTGGCTTTGCCGGTGAAGCCATTTGGTTTGTGGCAGGATGACAACACGTTAGTCATTTGATTGGGTTATTTAAAGGTCTTGTGTATAAGTCTTATAAATTAGTTATCTATTATATTTATGACTTATATGGTTTATTGAGTTTGTAGGGTATTCAATGGACCCTATTGTCAATCACTGTTCGGAGTAGGTATAGTGACTTCATCTATATATTAATTATCAGAAAAATATAAATATATTAAACTATCAAACTCTCATTGGAAAATTATGTATAGACCATTGTTGGCCACTATCACTTGGGCGATTGAAATAATCCAAACTTTATTATTTATCTAAGGTTGAACGACATACAACCACCCAAGGTTTGAAGTAATGACAATGTGGTACCCAAATAGTTTGGAAAAGACAAACAAATACTTTCCGTCATTCTCTGTTAGAAATTTCAGTTTATTAAAGGGTAATATAGTAATTGTATGTAGAGCAATCAAATTTGAAAATTTAATTAACTTTCTCGATTAATGGAAGAAGCTTCTCTTGGAAGATTCATTGGGGGCTTGACATGTGCTCTTAACAATTGACATTGAATAAAAAAAGAAGAAGAATAAACGAAAGTCTGTTGACTTTTCGTTTGTTGTGGCTTTGTGTTTTGTCTAGAGTTTGAGGCTTTGAGCAACTGAACGGCAACTATTGACGACGACCTAAACGAAACCATTGACGACAACCAGTGAAACATGAACCAGCGACAGGGCAGGACGAGTTAAAGCCGACGACCATGACGGAGTGATGGAAAACTGTTTGCGACGAGTGAATGGGAAAAACATTGAGAAGCATCATTATTGGTGTACGACATAAGGAACAACAACAACATTTGATGACGTAGGGTTGTTTACGGGTTGATGGTAGATAAATCATCGACGACTAAACAGCAAAAAGTGAAGGTTTAATGGAGTAGGTAAATATTCATCAGCCTTTTTTTTTCTTTGAAGAGTATCAAAAGTTTTATGATGGTTTGTTGGTTGTCGTTGATAGTGTGTATGCGTGTAAGGTTTTGTGAAAAACATTTTCTAAGTGAAAGTAACTGTGAAAGATGTTGTTCTTGGTTTTTCATATTTTATTGCAGTACTAAGTCGGTTTGTGTTTGGTTTACAGGATTAGGAAGTGGTGGAGATCAAAAGTGGATAGTGAAGCAAAACTTTAAGGTCAGGTGATATTTTTGTTAAGGTTGTTTATATTGCGGAATGTTGCTGATAACTATGAGAGAATGGCATGCAAAGATCTTCAAAATTTGTTTCTTCAATTACTTTTATTCTATATCTAATATAATAAGTTTTTAGGTAGCCAATGACTAGAAAGTAACTAAAACCGAAAATCAATAGGAAGAAATAAAACTAAAAGAGGGAACTGGTGACTGGTCTTTGTTTTTTCCCTTTTGTTTAATGTAAAGTAGTGTTAATGGGATTTGTTTGATAGTAATTGAAATCAATGCTCTTGTTGTATCTAGGATGATGAACAAACTCTACTTCTTTACATAAACTTTTCCATGGTTGTTTTCAGACTTTCATGCTCGTGTTACTACTTGGACTAAGAGCTTAATTTATATTTGAAAAACCCTTAAAAAAATATATAACCAAGTGTAAATGCAAGTTATTGAAATTCAAGTCTTTTTAACTTTATTGAGTCTTGTGATTTTTTGATTGTTGGGTTGTTTACAATACTTGCATGTACTTGGATTTAGTGTCCATCGGTTGTAACTGTTATCATTTTGGAGAATTTTCTTATAGGTATCATTTGCATCAAATGATTATTATTTGTAAGCTTTTCATATCCTTGTATTTGTTTGTTTGTTTTTTTTTTCCTATTTTAATTTTTTATAAGTTTGATGTTAATATGGTGCATGTTGCATGTTGCATGTTGAGCATTTTATGTAATTCTGTCCAATACTAAGGGCTCATGTGATTTTGATTGATGGGTTGTTCCACGATGCTTGCATGTGGTGTTGATCGAAAAGCTAATTTGTGTAGTAGGCATGGGCTCTGGTATTGTGTACTATTTACTGTAGGCATTAAAGAGACCCATTAGTAATTTAAGCGATGTGTAAGTTCAGTAGAATAAGACTATCACATGCTTTCTGTGTTTGACTTTGATGCTGGCTGGAAAGTGGGAGTTAGGTAGCTTTTAGAGGTGGGCTTTGGCTTTTGAGGTGGTTGTTGTTTAGAAGATAGAGAGGTTTTTTTAGGAGGTTTTAGAATAGTTTGACTTTGTATTGGCTTATTGTATTTGTTTGTGGTTCATTTTGTGTACTGGAAAAAAAAAGCCTCTTTCACAATATATACTATGGATAATGTGGAGTGAGACTTGTTTACTACACTGAAAGAAAAATCCAGCCAAATGGTGGGGCTGGTTTGCTTGAATGTGCTATTAGGAGTGCTAGCATGAATATCTTGTCATATAAATTTTTCATTTTGCAGGATGAAGCCGCAATAGTTTAATTTGATATTTCAATTGTTTGGTATTGATTGTGAGATGCGGAATGTTAACCCTGATGAATTTAGCTACATAGTGTTAATAAAGGACATGAAAACATGTGTTGCAGAGGAGAATGAGATAGTTCAACTATATCCTGATGAGAAGTTTAGGGTAGAGGCTAAGCTACCGTGGTTAGGGAAGAAATGTTTAATAGAAAATGATGAGGATGTGACATTTCTTT